GTAAGCAGAGTCAGAAACACTAGAGTCAACAACAGCATACATAGCATGAGGAGCACCAATCAGATCAACTAACTGCTCAGCAGACATGCCCCACAGAGCGGAGCCGTAGCGCTGAACCAGAGGAAGCCAGTCAAGGGCAGGACCGCCAACCCCGTAGGCCAACCGGACCGTGTCAGTGAGCTGAGCAAAGCACTGACCAGGGGGGTGAAAGCGGCCACAAGGGTGGCCCCGACGAGGACCTGTCAGAACCTGATAGGTGCAGGGAGGGTAAGCAGCACCACGCTGGGGCTGACGCAGCCCCGACCCCGGAGCCAGCTGCTGACGCTGCTGCTGCTGAGGCTGCTGGGAGGAGAGGGGCTGCTGCTGCTGCTGAAGCCGCTGCTGACGCTGAGCCTGGTACCACGCCGCTGCTCCACCTAGCGGGGCCGGCAGTACAGGAGACGACTGACGAGCTCGGGCGTCGCCACCACCAGCAGGCGCAGTGGAGTCACCAGCCGCTGCACGAGAGGTCTCTCCAGACGCTGCACTCCCACCACCGCCAGTCGCAACAGCACCCCCACTACCTCCGCTACCTCCGCCTCCACCTCCACCAGAACCACCTTTCTTGCCCCCCTTGCCGCGGGACCGCGACGCAGTCGTAGCAGCAGCTGCAGTCGCGTCAGTAGCGGCAGTGGCAAGAGAGGCAGTGAAGGTGGGTAACTGCGGGACTGTGCACCCGTGGAAGAGTGGGGGGGGCACAGCACCAGAGGCGGCAGCTACCGAGCGAAGGTTGCTCTCGACGTCCTTGAGCGCAGACTCAAGGACCTCAACTGTCAGCTCACTAGGGTGCTTCAGCAGAAGCGCGTCACGTACGGAGGCAAGGCGGTCAGGGAGGCTAGTGGCGATGAAATAGATAGTAATCGCCATGGGGGGAGGAAGCAGTGCAAGCTGTGCCTCAGTGCAAGCAGCGCGGTAACTAGCGTCGAGCGAGCGGAGGTGAGCGATCAAGTCAGCAGAGCGCTCAAACGAGGCGAGATCAGGAAACAGGAACGGGAGGAAAAGACGGCCAAGAGAGACAGTAGCGGGAGTAGAGTAGCGGGCCTTAATCGCAGTGAGGTACGCAGCAGCGGTGCGAACCTGAGTGAAGTGGACCTCCTCTGACTCAGGGAGGAGGCTGCTGAGTGCGATGCAGGCCGCAGCGTCACGTGACGTCCAAGCCGTCCTGTCAGCGCGCTGACGGGCAAAGCGAGCCGTAGCAGCATCGTCAGGGGCAGGACCTAAAGCGGCAGGCTCGGGGGGCTCGGGGAGGTCACCAGTAGCGTGCGACCAGAGGGTCTCGCCCCCCTGGACTTGACTCTCTAACAGACGGCGAGCACGAAGAAGCCAGACGGAAAAGTCAAGAGGTCTACCGTCAGCGTCGAAACGAAGAACTCGCGGAGTCGCCATAGCGAAAACTAACGCGAACGAGCAGGCGAGTAACAGCAGGAGGTAAGAGGCAAATTAGGGTGCAGGTGGGACTTAGTCGCAGCGGAAGAGCGGGCTAGAGCGACGGGCCAGGGCGTAGGGTCGACGGGACGGGGGAAAGGGCGGGCACGATGCGACGGGGCAGGGCGACGCGACGGGGGAGGGCGACGCGACGGGGGAGGGCGACGGGACGGGGAAGGGCGACGCGACGGGGCAGGGCGACGGGACGGGGAAGGGCGACGCGACGGGGCAGGGCGACGGGACGGGGCGACGGGACGGGGCAGGGGCAGGGCGACGGGACGGGACGGGGACGGGACGGGACAGGGGCGACGGGACGGGACGGGGACGGGACGGGGCAGGGGCGACGGGACGGGACGGGGCGACGGGACGGGACGGGGCAGGGCGACGGGACGGGACGGGGCAGGGGCGACGGGACGGGACGGGGACGGGACGGGGCAGGGGCGACGGGACGGGACGGGGCGACGGGACGGGACGGGGCAGGGCGACGGGACGCGACGCAACGGGGGGAAAGGGCGCGACGTGACGGGGGGGGAAAGGGCGCTAGGCGACGGGGGGAAGGGCGCTAGGCTCGGCACTAGGCGCGGTAACAACGGAACCGGTACGAACGAGAGGTAGGATCAGGCTCGGGAGATACGAACGGAGAACGGAGGAACGGGATCCCACAGGATCCTAACCTAACTGATACCATGTCAAAATGAGGAATGGATGATGCATTGATGTTGGTTGGGGTACATATAGCTAACCCTAAGTTTTGTACCCCCTAAGACAAACCTCACTATAGGCTACAACATTTGACAGCAGCATTATCATAATCATGAGGATAACCATGAAGATCAAATTACCCCCATTATCCAACAAGTTCAACCCTATACTATGAAACTGGTCAAATAGACTTCTGTATCTGCAATTGGTTGTACTACAGCTGTAAGTTCAGATAGTGAAAACACTTTCGACCTATTATTAGCGAACTATTCTGTGAAGAGCATATTTTGTTGAACCATTTCGGTTGGTTTTCTCAGGAAGCTGCGAGCATTTCAACGTCGTGACTGCGACACTGTTTTGCTAAACGCTATGACATTTTCTCAGGTGCGCGGGTCGAAACTTGTGTTTACACTGACTTTTAAGCTCGCGTTACACTCGTTCGTGGTGACGAAATCGTTTACTTGTTTGTTTTTATCCAATCCCAGCTGTCTCGATTGTCAGTTGCGGCACTGTTTGGCAGCATTGTCACTTTCATGCTGTCTCTATATGCCAGCAAGTTATCGCGTTGGCAGTTGGTCTGTGGGCTAGGTGCAGTGTACATCGGCAGGACCTCTGCTCTGCACCAAGTCTTCTGGTGAGCTGTTGCCTGGCTGGCCGAGCAACACTCATTGGCTGGCGCCGTGCGATAAGACGGGCGCGAATACTGTAGCCACACACTGACTCTGTGCGTCACATATTCGATGCGTTGTTTGCCCTGCTGGCTAGAAGCGCGACAAAAAAGCCCACCATCGATGCGCAGCAATGACAGCTGGATGTTTCTGACAGCTGGATGTGCATCGATCTTGTGGGCAGGGGCAATATATTATTTTGCGTGATTCGACGGCGCAGAACTGCAGAACCTTCTAACCATTGTTGTTTTTGAGTCTGGAAAAAAAAATCTCGAAACAAAAATGTGTACTGTATCTGCTCGTCCAATCTGATCAAGCAGCTCGCTAAAGTCCAGAAACGCCTATATCTTCTGTCCACGTCATTCCGACCTTCTTGCATGCGCGTAGGCGAGTCGGAAAACACACTGCCCATTCTGCACCGTTGGGGAAACCGCGCCATGCCTTTTTGCTCGCTAGTTTGTCAGAGCTACCTTAACAGACACTTTCACGCACCGCTTGTGCTTGCAGAATCCCGCCTAAACAGCCAGACAACGTTGGAAGCCAGCGGGTAATTTTCTTCCCTGCTCTGTATGTCATGTGTTCACCACCTATTCCTGGTGTTATATAGTTGGACGGGGTATTTATAAAAATATATCACTGCCCCACAACCAACAATCAGGACCTTCCATCTCTGTCCTCTCTCCTCCTGCACCACCACCGGATCCTCGTCCCCTCATGGCTGAGCTCCCTCGAGAGTTTCTAGAGGGTCGTGCCAAGAGGAAGAAGAACTTCCCTGCTAAGTTTCGTAATTACGAAACTGACCATCCTGGTGCGCGCGGCCAAGCAGTAACAGCTGGAGAGTTAATCAGAGCACCAAATACTCCTCAGGCGTGTACACCGGTCAACCATTCTCCTTTGGGTGGTAGTCCTTCACCTGTTGCAAGTCGTCCTCCAACGATTGCAAGTGATTCAGCAGTGGTAACTAATGGTACTACCGTGATTGGAGTTACTGCAACGAATATCAGTGCAGAGAACGTGATAGGTTCTCAGGAAGACGTCTCTCACGACAACCAGGCCGTCTCAGGGTCCGACCTCAACATCGTCCGCACAGGTACTTGGCCTTTTCAACCCACGAAATACATTGGTTCTAGTGTGGTACACTTCTTAACCGTTTTTTTTTTCTTTGTCAGGGACCCCCATCTCCTCCGACCGGAACGTGTATCATCGTGAGGCTAACACGTTCAACTCGCTGGAGTCAAGTATTCGCGTTACACTCGCGAACATCGTGGATACGCTAGACAGCGCCAACGAAAGGCTTCGGCATACCGAGGAGACACAGCGAGCCCTCCTCAAAATCGTCACCGAACTTTCTAAAAATATCAATCTACCATCCTGGGGGTCTGATGTTCAAGTCCAGGTGTGTAAAGTGGTCCATTTCGTTAACGATTTCGTATTCTCATAAATGCTTTCCATTATTAACGTTAACTAATTTTTTCGTCGCTACTTGTTGTAGGAGAAGTTCGGGGAAGTTTTCGACACGCTGTTGAACGGTCCTAAGCTCGAGAATAGGCGGATCTATCCGTCTAGGGAAGAGTTCAAGACCGCTTTGTCTAATGTGCTAGATGTGCAAGTTGAAGAGGCTGCAAGGTTCAATTCCGATTTCAAGAACAAAAAGTGGGGCGATAAAATGGTAGATCTTTGCAATGGCAGGAGAGGGAAGCTTAACACCAGGTTTCGGCACTGTGCATATGCTCTTCTTAAAGATCCTCAAGACAAGGTCGTTCCGAACGATGCCAAAGCTCGGCAGGACTATGCAACGAAGTATCTGTGTGGTAAGTTACTGATGTGTTGTTTCCTGTTGTGTATCTGACTTTTCTAACTTTCTTTTTTGTACCTGCAGAGGTGTTTGGCCTGCCATGGCACGCTGTGGGCGAAAATCCGCTATCTAGCTCAGCCTTCATCACTGCCGCCAGTGCGTGGTACAAGGACCCCCCGAAGATGTTGCGCTCACGATTGATCAAGTCTGCTACACCCTGTATGCGGTGAGTGGGTGTGTACGGTACATATATTAAACCTAGCTGTCCCTGTGTTCTAATGAGCAGCTCTTGGTGTTGTGTGCAGGTTGAGAACAACATGATCACAGGCATGAACAGTCTGCATTCGGAGTAGTCATCGAACAAGCGGGAAATGGACATCAGGAAGGTCCAGATCGAGCAGTGGATTGACAGGGCCAAAATTCCTCTTATAGCTGGGCATTATGGTTTCGGCGAAGTGTGTGTTCTCAATTGGCGTAGGTAAAATGTATTGTTTTTTTTAATCAATAATGCTATTTTTAAATATCCCCTTTTATATTGAACATTTTTCAGCAAATTAGAATTCGTGATTTCAAAATATATATGCGTAACACACCCATGTGCGTGTATTACTGTACCCGAAAGTATATGTATAACGAATGTAACTTATTGCAGGTGTATTTATATATTTAGTTTCTTTTGTGACTTCAAAGAGACTCAGACTTTCTGTATTTAGACCCTAGTACAAAAAAAGTGTTACGAAATTATTATTGTAACAACATTCGCGTGACCCCCAGCAGTCTGCCTGTGGTTGGCGAAACTCTAGCCCTCCCGAACACTTCACGCAGAGTGTGTTTCCATGCAATCGCTGCCCAGCATTTCGCACCAATTTCGAGAACCCAATTGCCATGTTCATTCTAACCTGACTTCCAGATATTGGCGAGAATACTCAGGAGAAGGTGCGATGTGTCCTGTTAGTGACGAAGACGAAGCCGATGCGGAAAAGAAGATTGAAGAGGCCCTAATTGAGCCGCTCCCCTCTGAGAGCGACTGGCTCGCCAGCAATCCCGAGGCTCCCGCTGAGGCGGCTCGTTCTTCCGGCGTGAAGTGCTCGTCGTCGCTGGTCTCCTTCCGCCACGCGCTCGTGTGCAAGCGCTGGTTGCGCGTCTCTCGACTCGTGCATCCCGCCATCGTCGTTCCGCTCGACCGCTTCTTCTCCGCGCGCGCTCTCGCGTCCCTCCTCCGCGCGCCCGCGACCGCGGGGTTCCCCAACCTCCGCCACCTTCACCTCGCGCCCAACGCGCTGGACACCGTCGATTCCGCGCTCGTGCGCGCCATCTGCGTCGGATCTGGGCCGTCCTTATCGCACCTCACGCTGCAGCTACACGATGCCTGACTGCACGTGACGCGCGCGCGACGGTATTCTTTTCGTGGGATCGGCGCACAAGCGGCGCTAGCGGCGGGGGCGATCTCGCCGGCCAATGTCGCCGCCTTGTTCTGCTCTTGCACGCGATTGGTCAGTCTCGACGTGACCTGTGGGAGAGGGCTTTCCGAGGTTCCCGCTGCCGTCAGCTGCCTGCAGCAGCTCACGAAGCTCAGCATGTCATTTGACGAATATGTTACCACGTTACCGGCGGAGATTGGCAGTTTGGTGCGACTGAAGCGGTTACAAATCCGGTCGACTTCCCTCGTGCTGCCCAATTCATTTTGCGAGCTGCCCGCCGTGGAGCACATCAGCTTGCGTGGCTGCGATTTTTCCCATTTGCCCAGCGACCTCGGGCAGCTCCAAAACCTCAAGATCCTCACTCTCAAACTTCTGATGCAGCTCGTCGAGCTGCCCGCCTCCATCTGCCTCCTCTCCGCGCTTACCAGCCTGACCATCGAGCACTGCTACGAGCTAGCAAAACTGCCCGAAAACTTTTACCAGCTGCCGAATCTGCGCACCATCCACCTGGAAGCGCTAATCGCCCTCTCTTCCCTCCCAGAATCTTTTGGTCAGCTGCCCTTGCTGCGTGACCTCACCATTCGAGACAGCGGTCGCATCACGCACCTCCCGCCATCTCTCTCAAGCAGCAGCACACTGGAGCACCTCTCGCTCCACAACTGCGGAGGGCTCTCGTCCCTGCCGGACGCCATCGGCCACATCCCCACCCTGCAGCACGTGGAGCTCAGATTTCTCGAGACCCTTATCGCACTTCCGGACTCGCTGGGATACTCCTCTCGCCTGCGCGAGCTCAACATCGTCCACTGCAGCCGCCTTACAGCTCTCCCCCGTTCGGTCTCTGCCCTCACCTCCTTCGCCCACCTTACGCTCGATGGCTGTGCTCTATGGGCGCTGCCCGAGGATTTCGGGCAGTTGTCGAATCTGGTCCAGCTGAAGCTGTCCTGCGGGTATTTGCCTGCCCTGCCCAGGTCGTTCGGGCAGCTGGGGAAGCTGCAAGATTTGAGGCTCCATGCCTGGTACGGGCTATTCGAGCTGCCCGCGAATTTCGGAAATCTTTCCTTGCTTGAAACCCTAATCATACACGGGGGAACGTCGCTCATCTCCCTGCCGCCCAACTTCGAGCACCTTCCACAACTGCGGTGTCTGGAGCTCTTCAACTGCGCCATTCCGAACCTGCCGGAGAGGTTCGGGCAGCTGCCAAAACTAGAGATTCTCAAGGTGGGGAGCAGGGAGAGATACACGAGGAACGGCGTGGATCCAGAGCACCCGTCGTCACCTGCGAGCCCCACAGCGCTCTCAGCGACCTCGCTGAATGAACCGCTCCTGGGGCGCTGCCTGCTGCGCAGCTTGCCCCCGTCCGTCTCTTCCCTCACGTGCCTGCAGCAGCTGGTTATCGACGGGTGTAACGCGCTGGTGAGCCTGCCAGAGGGACTGGGCCGCCTTGCTGGGCTGCAAGTGCTGCGCGTCAAGAACTGCCCGCAACTGCGCTGCTTCCCCTCCCTCCTGCCCGCTCGTCCTCCCACCTCCACCTCCGTGCCTCGAGGACGTTCAGCCCCTGCTGCCCCTGATGTCTCTGCTGTTGCTGGGCCTGTTCCTCATTCTCGGACTCGTCGATTTGCGCGCCCTGCTGCTTGCTCCGCTCTGCTCCCAGTGCTTCACACCCTGGAGATTTCCAACTGCCCGAGTCTAACAAGCCTTCCACGTGGCCTCGATGCTGTGCCTCGGCTGGAGCAATTCACCCTAGAAAAGTGCGACCAGCTGGAAATGGCAAATGGCTTCTTAGGATTCCCCTCCTCAACCTCACTTGCTGCACCCATCGCCCTCCCGCCCTCCGTCACCACAGTCTCTCTGCTTGACGTCTTCCCAGAAGCGTGCTACCTGCCGGACTCCTTCCTCTCCCTCTCGCGCCTCACCCATCTCACCCTGCACGAGCTCGTCTCTCTCGACGCACTCTTTGCCCCGGCTGCTACTCGCCTCGGCCCTCCACGCACCCGAACCCATCCAATTCTCGGCTTCTCGGTTGATCCTCAACCCGGTCAGCCAGCCAGATTGGCGCTGCTCTCGTCTCTGCAGCACCTGGAAATTGTGGAATCCACCCTCCCATTGCTGCCTAGTAACCTCAGCGACCTCTCAAGCCTCAAAACGCTCATTCTCGAAAATTGCCGCTACATGACCTCCCTCCCTGCATCCCTACCCCACCTCTCCAACCTCGAAAAACTCGTGCTGAAAACCCTCCCGCGGCTGGCGCGCCTGCCCGAGAATCTCGGGCAGCTGAAAGCCCTGAAAGAGCTCACGGTGGAGTTGTGTGATGCGCTGGTGGGGCTGCCCGCTTCCATGGGCCTGCTCTCCTCCCTCGTCCTCCTCTCTGTCATTGAATGTGACAAGTTCTCCTCTCTCCCCGACTCCATGGGCTCCCTCCCCCGCCTCGCCTCCCTCAAACTCAACTGCCTCCCCCGCCTGCGCCGCCTGCCAGAGTCCCTCTCCCTTCTCCCCGCCTTGGTGATTCTTTCACTGGAAGACTGTGAGGAGCTGCGAGCGCTGCCGGAGGGGCTGGCGGGTGTGGGGACGTTGAGGGAAGTGATTGTGGCAGGGTGCTGCGCGCTCGAGTACGTGCCCCAGTCACTGCTGGCGAGGCAAAACGTGATCGATTTGCAGCTGAGGTGAGGAGGAAAGGGGGGGAAGGGGGTGAAAGGAGGATGGGTGGTTGAGATGAGTTGGAAGGCTGGGAGGAGAGCAGAGAGGATTGGTGAAGTAGCACGGCTGAAAGGAGCGGCAAGGATAGATTGCTAGTGTTGCCAGGCAGGTTGTGCATTGAATGGTACCTGGATTAGTTGCATTGTTTAAGGTTATGCAGTAGTTAAAAATGAATCCCATAACTATTTCGCCACTCAGAAAAGGGATGTCACGTAACAGCTTAAAATTTAACTGTCTGCCAAAATCTATTGAATTCTACATCTATTGAGTCTTGGTTGCATCAGAATCACTTGTCTTATACGCTTCTGCTTGCGGTAGAGTTCTATTAATTATATTTATCTTTGCCTTCCACTCCACAACTCAATTTTCCTAATGGCTTCATCTTCGCCCAACACATCAAAGGGGCTAGTCACAACTCACAAGCAAGCACAGGCTCCTGCAAGCTCGAACTTGGAGTCACGCTTTCTTCAAAACGTGCGGTAGTCTTCAGAAGGTCTACATCGATTGCACCTGGTTAAGAATCTAGATAACGTCAAGGCTAATAGACCTGTGGTTAGTGTATGCTGGATGTGCACCCAAGGTGTGGCCGTTGCAGCAACAGGTGAGCGACCATGAATGATTTCACATTCACAGGAGGCAATGGGAATCAACTGAGTGTGGTGGGGTGGGGGGAATGATCTGAGGAGGTGGGAGATGGGATGGAAGCCAGATGCTTACTCCCTCCATCACAACCTGCCTCTTCATCCCAGCCTGTCATCCCACCCAACCCCTGAAATCAGAATCAGAACCCGCCCCCATTGCCAACACTGGCGGTATCAGCAGCAGCGCAGGCGGCATCGCTGCGCATGTCATCGCTGTCCCCATCGTACGGCCCTGATGCACCGCCGTGGTCCATCTCCTTGATGCTGCCGTTGTCCATGTGGCGCTCTATGGTTCGCCGACTCACCCCGCCCGCCTGCATGCGCATCATCGCCACAAACTCGTTGTAGTCCACCCGCCCCGTCTGCTCACCACGCACACACATGCATGCACGCACACAGGCATGGACACATGCACACACAGACACACATACATGCACACAAGCACACATGCATACACATGTATGCGAGGCGGGAAGGGATGGTTGGGCACGGGGCCATGGAGGCACGTGGGTGTGCATGCAGCACAGTGCCTCATGTCACTTGCCTCCACTGCTGTCCACATGGCCACTCGCTTGTAAAGGAGACGAGGAGGCGAGGGGAGGATATGAGTGTGGATGCGGGACGGGGGAGGGGCTGGTGGAATGGGATCCTCACACGAGCCTGCAGGCACCTGTCCAGTCCCTTCCCTCTCACCCACCATTGTGAGCACCATTTACAATGCTGGCCCTGGTACACAACATCCTTGCCCTTGACTTGTGTCACCTAACCAACGGAACCAAGCGCATCCACCCACACTTGCAGAAACGTGCGTGACCAAGAGTGACTTTGAAGCACCGCGCCTTCAGCAACCTCACGCATTGCCTGTTTAAAAAAAAAAAAACAACCCCCACCACTCACAACACCTCCACGCCATCATCTCACCTCGTCGCGGTTCACCTCCGCCATCATCTCCTGCACGACGGCGCGGTTGACGCGGTATTTTTCGCAGGCGCGCTGCAGCTCGGCCTCGCTGATGTAGCCGCTGAGGTCCTGGTCGAAGACGGAGAAGGCGTGGAAGAGGTTCTCCTGCTGCTCCACGCCACACAGCTGCAGCAGCGCCACGAAGAAGTCCGCGTAGTCAAACGCCACCTTGCCGTCCAGACAGATCTGATGGGGGCGGGAGCGGCAGTGGGCGTGGCATGTTGGCACTCAGCAGTGCAGGCGATCACGCATTGCATGCAGAAGCTCCAGGTTTGAAACTGAGATGAATGTTGGAGTGTAGTAGGCATGAGCAAACGGCCAGGCCCGGCTAACGTACCGGTTCGGTCCAGACCTGACCAGGTGAAATCGAGTCAGGTGGACATGGCCCGTGGGTTGTGCTTGCATCAACGGCTCATCTCATAGTTTGTGCAATTCCCGTTTAAAATAACAATGTGAGCAGCAGCAAATGCGTTACAACTGCCCTTGATCCGTCCCATGTGAGCAGCGTGCACGGACCTCATGGATGATGCTGGCGACGGCATCAGCAGGCCCGTGGAAGCCACGCGAGTGCAGCGCGTGGGGCAGCGCCTCGATGGGCACCACCCCGGTGGCGTTGGGGTCGAGGCGGCCCAGATCCCCCTGCACCACGCGGATGTCGTCCTCGCTCATGCCCTCCACCATGGCCTGCAAGGGGGTGCCAGGGGAGGGCGGCAAGCAGGATATGAAGAGACAAGGGAAGGAGCATGACTGGAACAAGCCATGTGTCAGCACCTCGAAGAGTCCTTCCATTGTCTTGCAAGCACCAAGTAGCAAGCCAAGAAACACCAAGAAAGCCCGCACATCCATCCCTTTCTCCTTGGCTGCTGTCTCAACAGCAGGCGGCACGCTGACCTTGAAAGTCAGCACCACAGCCTCGTGGGCAACTGCCACGTCAATGTCACTGACTGTCACATCACCAGAAGGCTGACAAAGAAAGCAAGAGCGAAAAGGAAAATCCAACTCAGTGCCAATGTTTAGGGCACTAGGGATTTGATCTAACTCGGCTCCATCGAAAAGCTTGAACCTGACAACGGCACCATTGCAGTGAACTGGGTGCCGTTTGGGAACAACCTACACACATACCTCGGCTATGTGCGAGTACAAGACTACTGTCTACTCGAGGTCATCCTAGAGCACCCCAACGGCCTCCTTCCACCCTTCCTCACCTGCCACCCTCCTCCTCCTCCTATTGCTTCACCTCTCCTAACAAAACCTCCCCCCACCGCACCCACTCTCCCGACCCGCATCTACGAGCCAAATCGGTGGGCACGCGTCTTCCGTACCTACAACGAGGAATGCGACATCTACGTCATCCAACGTGAGGCGCATGCATCTGCTACGACCGCCAACGCGACTGCTTCTGCAGTTGTTAAGGAGTACCTCGCCATCATCTTCGTGAGTACCACTCAAACAATGCTGCGTGGCGTACACTGCTTGTCGTGCCCTCACCATCATCTTCTCCTAAGCTCCCTACTTCCTTAAGCATGATCTCTACCCCACCTCCTCCTTTTTCTGTGAAAGTATCTTCCACCCAATATGACCGCCATGATCCGCTTCCTTCTTGCCCTCTTCCCAACATTTCAAGACATCACCCTCCACTCCTCGCTCAATGCCGCCTCATTCGTTCGCCGCCTCACTGAAACAACAGAGCGCTTCAACGACAACGGAATTGACACCCTCCTTTCTGCACGCATCATATACTGGCTACAGTCCACCTACGACACTTATGGCGTCAACTTCACATCCCGACGTCGTCATCCTCCTACTGTCGCTGAAATGATTGACTGACTTCTTGACAGCGAAGCTGACATCCTGCATGTCATCCTGTGCAGACCTGCAAGGGTGCGAACGACCACTGCAACAGCGGCGGAGTAGGTGGTGGCACCAACAGTGGCGGCGGCCGAGGAGGAGGACATGGAGGCAGTCGTGGTGGTGGTCGCAGTGGCACCAGGTGGATATGGCAGGAGCACTCCATCTTCGAGTACCCTTCCCTCCTATCAGTTTCCAATCTACCATGGCTCCAATAGAGGACAGAATTGCTCCCATACCACACGCACTACTGACGCGTGCCTTAAAACCCTCACTAACGAGTGACTAGCGCGTCGCAACACCGGCAACCCCCCACGCTAGAGCACCATTATCCCTCGCCCCACCCCTCATGACGTACACACCCTCCCCGGTTATCAACCCTCCACCCCCAACCTTCAAAATGTCATCACTTAGCACCTATCCTTTCACATACTTCAACCAGTTCAGCATCTCCTTTCCCCACCATCACTCCTCCAACTCCTCCCACTCCTCCCCCGCTTATACCTCCACCTCAGCCCCTACCCTCCCTCTCCCATTATCCACCACCTATACCACTCATCTGCCTTTGGTCCACTCGGCTTTTGCCCCTCCTGAGATGCCTCCAACCTCTGTTTTAAGATAACCCCGTCCCTTCTACATCCTCATGTACGTTGACAGCATGTTGCTAGCCGCTAACACAGACGCTGAGCTGCAGGAGGTAAACGATGCAAGAACACTACTGAGCATTGGCAGGCGGCCAAGCGTTCTCCGCTACCTTGGGGGCCACAAAGGACCACATCCTCAACCTTGGTGGCCCGGACCCCCACATGCTCACCGGCTACAACCTACAGCGACTCATCATGGGCAAGCTCGCAGCCGAATCGCCGCAACTCTCAAGGGTACGACTTCTCGCTTCAGAGCGGACTCAATAGCTGGCACTCCACTCGCTCCTACTCCATCGCTCTCCCCTCCTGCGAAGCTGGGCTTATGCGGTCACGTTGGCGGCCCAGGAGGCACGCTGGCTCAGCTCTCTCCTCACCGACCTTGGAGCACCTCAGCCTTGTCCCACCATCTGGTGTGACAACGCTGTCACCATTCACCCCATTAAGGAGGTTGTCTTTCATGGTCGCTTCAAGCACATCGAGCTCCGCCACTACTTCGTCCGCGATCTTGTCCAAGATGGCCACATCACCGTACACAAGATCGACTCATCCGCCAACCCCACTGACATCTTCACCAAGACCCTCCACCGTTTCGTTCACTCAACATTTCTGCACCTCCTGGGGCTTGGCCCCCACTGTTGCTGATTAAGCTACGAGATTATCATATACTGTCGCCCAAGCTTATGGCCAAATGCAGGCTACGGGACTGTGTCAGACTACTCTCTACCGTTTAAGCTTGGATAGGGATAGGCACTCAAAATAGGTTTGGGTGCACAACTGGGATCAACTCAATTTGGTGGTTGAGAACTAAACCTTGGCCCAATTATCTGGCCTTGAAGGTTGGGTTGGAGATTGTTGGACACCCCATCATCTTGGATCAACTTTAATTGTTGAGGCCTCCCAACAAATTTTCAACCCAAATTATTGGTGGGGGCCAATAACATTGGCCAACAACCTAATCACCCTCTCTCCCCTCCTTTCACTACTCCTACGCGTATCCTTGCATTGCATCTTCTAATGCAATCAGAAGTTCTCCTTACGCTTTCAAGTTTCTCAAATGCCACCTGCTTGACTCACCCGGAGCGCCACCTTCTTGACCTTCTTGAGGCGCATGACGTAGAGGAACTGCTTGAAGCGATCCACCACGTCCTTCTCCAACGGCTCGTCCGGCGCCCGCACTATCCACGTGTGCTCTGCGCGGCCACACCGCATGCAGCACGTGGGAGAGTGGGAGGCGGGCGGGAATGCGGACAATGGGGAAGTGTGGTTCCGATAGGGAGGCAGGGAGGATGAGCAAACGGCAGAGAGGCACAGGAGAGGTTCAGACATGCAAGCAAAAGCAGCAGAGATGGAAGACAGAAGGATAAGAAGGGTGTGTGATGTGGGGTGTTACAGGCCATCTGGCGGCCCCCCACAGTAGGCTTGAGTGGAAGTGGAGGGTGACATGGCATATGCTCTCCCACCATGTTCATCGCACCATATCCCACCCACCCAACGGCCCAGCACTATGAGCAGCCCAGTGCTGATTGTGGCAGCCTGGCACGCACCGAGCACTTGCTGCGCGGTGGGGCACAGCGCGAAGTCGGGGTGGAGAATGGCATTTGCTCTCCCACCACGTACACCGCACCGCACCGCACCACATTCCACCCACCATCATATCACATGCACGCACCAAGCACTTGCAGCGCAGTGGGGCGCAGGTTGGGGTCGGGGTGCAGCATGGCGCTGATGAGGCTCTTGGCGTCCGCCGATATGCGCCCCCACACCGCCTCGCGGAACAGGCGCTGCGGCTGCAGTATGACCCGCCTGAACGCCCTCTCCGACCCTGCACCGGGGGGAGGGAAGCAGGGAGGGGGGGAAGGGGTGAGACGTTGCACAGAGGCAAAACGAGGAGAGGGACCAGGAGGGTGCAGGCGAGAAGGATCCAAGTGGTTGTTAGCGAGGGGGCTTCAACAAGGGAAGACGAAGGTGGGTGCTGAGCAAGGAAGGGCGGGACAAGAGAACGATTTAGGCAAGCGAGGGAGAGAGAGGGAGGGAGAGAGGGAGGGATGAGGGGGAGGGATGAGGGGGAGGGATGAGGGGGAGAACGGCTTTCCGATCAAAGGCAGAGGGGAAACACGCCCTTATTGTTTTGGTGGGTTGGGTGGAATATGGGTAGTTGGTTGGCAGCGAGGTGGGTGGAGAAAAAGGCCCGTACGGTCGGGGCCGGGCGGCAGGAAGGGGTAGTTGCCGGCGAGGAGGATGTAGAAGATGACGCCGCACGCCCAGATGTCCACGGGCGGCCCGTAGCGCTGCTTGCCCAGGTTCTCCCAGATGCGGATCACCTCCGGCGCCATGTACATGCAGCTCCCACACACTCGCGTGAAGCCCTCGCCTGCCATGTGCGCGCGCACACACGGGCACACGGGGGTGGGAGAGCGCATGAGTGAATGAAAGGATGAGGCCATGAGGGCAACAGGGCTTGAGGGCATAGGTCATGAGAACGTGAGGGCATTAGAGCACGAAGGCAGGAGGGTATTGGGCAATGAGGATACAAGGGCAGGGTGCTGCAGAGACAGATGGTGGGGCGCCTGGCATTTGCACTCCAGCAATGGCAGCACACCCTTCGATCACTTCCCTGATCTCACTGCACCACTCGCTCTGCCACCCCTGCCAACAGCCCCACCTGCACCTAGATATGAGCACGAACCGAACTCGAACATGTTTGAGCAAACCTTTTCGAACCTTGCATGTTGGTCGAACCGAACCGAACAGGTTTGCTCGAACTTTTTTCAGACTTTGAAGGTTTGAGGTTTGAGTATACAATGGCGAACTCTAAAGGTTTGCTCAAACCTTTTAAGGTTTGAGCGAACTCGAACCTTTCCAGGTTTGAGCTATAAAATGATGCACATGTTATTCTAAAACACATGCATGTTTAATGGTTTAGGGACAGCATCCTGTTCTAACAACAAAGCAAATGACCGGGTCAAAAAGCATCCCGACACTCCAATCAAGAGAAGTCTAAGGAAAATTCGAACATACGATAGCACCACCCCTCCACACGACCCCATACAGCCTCAACACCCTAGCCCTGGCCCTCTCCCACTCCCGTTGCACATGTCGCCTCTCCCTCCCCCTCCTCCTCATCATCATCCTCCTCCTCCTCGCAGTCCTCCTCTCCCTCGAGCCCCAAGTCCACTGCTGCTGCAGCACGGGCAGATTCTGCCCCATCGCCGATACGACCACCAGGGTGCGTGTCGTACCAAGACCGCAGAGTCATGCACGACCGCACACGCTCGGTGTTCAGGCGTGTGCGCTGGAAGGTGATCAAGTTCCTACTCTGTGAGAATGCTCGCTCGCACGATGCCGAGGTGGCGGGGATCGCCAAGTAATCCTTGGCCATGGCTCGCAACGTGTCGAGGTTCTTCACTGTGCGCCAGAACTCGAGTGGGGATAAGTCTCCGGTCTCATCGTATCCCACATATCTGTCCACCTCGTCACCCAACTGCCTAGCCCCTCCTGCAGCCTGTGAAGCAGAGACGCGCGCAATCAAGCGGCGCCTACTGCCAATAGCCTCATCCCCCTCATTGTCGGCAGCAGGTGCTCGCGCTGCTGCAGCAGGTGGAGGCGTAGGCGCCTCGTCCCCTCTTGGTGAACCCTGACGGCGCCATTGCGGTGCTGAACGTGATTCGACATAGTAACATAGTTGCTGTCCCTAAACCTCCTTAGAAGTCGAAATTCTTGGTCCAAGACCTAAAAAACGGAAAGCTTGGACCTATACTAAGGAAACGTAAAGATGCCCATAATTTATGAAAATCGAAGAAGGTGCACTGATCCGTCTTAAATAATTGAAGAAATGCTTGATAGGCTCTAGAAAACCAAGTTTGTGTGCTAGAGCCTAGCGTAGAAGTAGATCTAGATATACTCTACTAACTTAGCTACACTAGGGTTGGCTGCCGTGAAATGGCAGCCAACACTACGACTTTCCCGATTTTGACGGGAAAGTCGCGAGTGCTTCTCTGGCGCAGGGAATTTATCTCGAACCCCTCGCGGTTCGAAATAACAAGATTCGAACCTCGAACCTGTTCGGTTCGAGGTTGGAATCTCGAACCCAAAATGTTCGCACGAACAGTTCGTGCGAACCTCAAAGAAGTTTGCGCGAACTTTTTTTGCAGAAAAAAAAGTTCGGTTCGAGAAATCTCGAACCGAACATCTCGAACCGAACTGAAGTTCGGTTCGATGCTCATGTCTACCTGCACCTGCCTCTCAAGTGCGCCGCTCTCTCACCGGGTTTGAAGTAGGCAGCCATGCCGAAGTCAGCGGCTTTAAGCACAGCATCGGGGCCAGCGGTGGAGAAGAGGAAGTTCTCGGGCTTGAGGTCGCGGTGGATCACGCCGCTGCTGTGGCACGAGTGCACCGCCCGCACCACCGCCTTGCACAGCTTCGCTGCATCGCGCTCACTGCCACTCACGCGCACGGTGGTTGGTTGGTGGAGGGTGAGGGCGGACGGGTGTAGTGGGGAGAGAGCAGGTGAGGCATGCACACGGTAGGAGGAAGGTGGTGGTGGCAATGGCATGGTGAGGGCGAGGGGCAAAGGCAAAAGTGGTGGAAAGAAGATGCTGCGCGCATGGCAGGGTTACATGCAGGGCTGATGTGTGTGAAAGCTGTGGGCGACTGAATGACGTTCAAGAGTACTCATCATCACCATCACCATCGCTCATCTTCATTCCCACATTACTTCCCTTACCAACAGGGCACCCATGCGACACCTGTACGGCACGGGCGTGCTATGGGACCTATGGGGATGCTCACCTCATGCTCTGCTCAAATAGCCTTCCCACTCCATCACATGCATGCACGGCACACCCCATCCCATCAATCCACCCCCTCACCTGCAGGGCAACCCCCCATCCCATCCCATCCCACCCCTCACCTCCCCCATCTCACTCACTCACTCCTCACCTCCCCCCATCCCACTCACTCCTCACCTCACCCCTCACTTCCCCCCATCCCACCCACGCCCTCACTTCTACGTAGGGCAACCTTTATCACATCCTGTCCACCCCTCACCTGTAGGGCACCACCCATCCCATTCCATGCCTCCCCTCACCCGTACAGCACCCCCATGCCACCCCCTTCCCCCCCGCCCCACCTGTAGGGCACGGTCATCTCATCGCACCTGTAGGGCACGGTCATCTCGTCGCACCTGTAGGGCACGGTCATCTCGTCGCACCTGTAGGGCACGGTCATCTCGTCGCAGCGGCGGTTGATCTCGTCGAACAGCTCGCCCCCGCTGCAGAGCTCCATGACGATGTGGATGTCGCGGCGGTCCTCGTACGTGCTGTGCACGCGCACCACGTTCGGCTGCCCCTGCAGCCGGAACAGCACGCTCACCTGACGTGGGGTTGGAAGGGGAGATGTGAAGAGATGACAACTTGTTTGGCTGTCATGTGTGGTTTGGAAGGGGTAAATGCGCTTGTCTTTATTGAAGCATGCATGTGACGCGTATTCCTCTTCATTTGACAGCCCAAACGCTCACCAGGGCGCTAGACCCGGTCCTCCGTTTTCATTCAATGACTTGCATTGCATACAAAAACACTAAACTACTAAGGCTGTTGGTCCCAGATGCTAAACTTGGAATGGAATTGTGGCAGGAAGTTCTCTCAGCGGGAGCATGTGATGTGCTGGTTGTGTATTGTATCACGGGTTCACAGAAAACTCAAAAGGGGGGTGGGTGAGTGGGGTATGGTCGAGGGAGGCTGGGGAGAGGATTTATTTCAGCACTGCTGGTGGTAAGCCCTGGCTGGCTGACCCATCCCCATGATTCAGGGGTGGCAGGGATCGCCTCTGCTGGATAGGCTGCTTGGACTTCACATGGTTTTAGCCTAGACCAGGGAGCTGAGGCCGAGCTGGGTGGGGGGAGAATGACCCCCTCAGGGGGGTTTGGGGTAGAGCCTCTTCGACTGGAATACTTGACTCGCTCAAGCTCTTTTTAACTCGAGGACGAGTTTCAGGAAACTTGTCAAAGTACCGAGTTTTGAGACACAATTCTATCGAAAAAAACTCGACGAGTTTCCCTCGATTCGGCTTGACCGGTAAGCAGAACTCGGAAATGCGAGTGGAGTAGAACCCGACTCGTCCGTTGCCCATGTACACTCACCTCCATGCGCACGTCCTCCACGTCCTCCACGGAGATGAGGGAGCTGCGGGCGATGGTCTTGCAGGCGTAGCGCACGCCCGTGGCCTTCTCTGTGCACACATACACCTTGCCGTACTGCCCCTCGCCCACCGCCTTGCGCTCTATGTTGAACAGCGTGCGGATGTTGGCTGGCGGTCGGGAGGGTGGGGCAGAGGGGGGGTGGGGGCGAGGCAGCGGAGAGAGAGGCAAGGCAGGGAGAAATGGGGCGTGAGGATGGGCATGGCGGAGATGAGAGGCGATGGAAAAGAGAATGAAAGGGGCGGGAGTGGAAGAAAGAGGAGTGGAGCAGCGGTAGTGATGGCAGTGGCATTGAGCTGAGCACAGCCACACAGAGAGGCGCCTTTCCCCTCCGCCACTGACCACTGACCACCCTCGCCTCACATGGCCCCCCATGTGACCATGAGGCACCCACACCCACCCCTGCACGCCCCCTTCCCAAAAGCACAGAGCAGCAACAGGCGTGCATTTCACGGGCGATGAGATGAGAGCAAGGGGCGGGAAGGACTTGGGGCGGGGGGGGGGACTGCAGGTGAGTTTTGAGGCGCCTCAACAGTCGCCTCATGTCTTGAGAATGTGCACAGGGGATTCAGGATTGCATGCATGCGTGCGTGTAACCTGAAGCGGCCACTTGAGTGCAGTATCGGCTACCGAGGCCGATCGCCCATGTTGTCCATGCAAGGCTGACACCGAGGCACTCAAGTTACTTCACAACAATCTCATTACCAGGGACTCATGGTATCTGTGGGCTTACGGGTTGGGTTAAGGGAAGGAGGGAAGGGGGGGCGTGGGTGGGCTTACGGGTGGGGCCGCGGCCGAGCACGGAGGCGGTGAGACTTCTGCCGGGCGTGACAGCGGCCAGGGTGGGCGGCCAGCGCCGTGCGGGCAGCTGAATGCTCAGCTCCATGTCCATGCCCATGTCGCCCCCCCCCTGCTGCTGCTGCTGCTGCTGCTAATGCTGCTGCAGCTGAAAAGAGACGTGGTTTTGCTGCTGCAATGGGCGTGGCTGGGGCGGCGGCATGAGGCCGTGGGGCGGCGGAAAGGCCTGCTGCTGCGGGTGGTACGGCTGCTGCGACTGCTGCTGCGGGTGGTGCCAGGGGGCGAGCGGGGAGGGGCCGTTGGCGGAGGGCGCAGAGGAATTGGACGCCTGGTGAGGGGGAAGGGGGATGGCGGATGGCGGGCACGGAGAGAAGGGAAGCAGGCATGGATAAGATGAGAGTGATGGAGAGGGGGAAGAATGGGAGAGGGAGGGAGGAAGGAAGAGAGTAGGCGGGGAGGAAGCGGTGAGGTAGGAGGGTTGAAAAGAGAGTGATGTGTGAGTGGGAAAAAGCGGGTCAGCAGCGTGTGGGACGACACACCCGTGCTGTGACGTGAGCAGGCGAAGGCAGGAAGTCAGAGGTGTGAGTGGTGTGGGTCCATGAGAGACAGAGCCTTGTTGCATACCGACCGAGAGTGAGTGCGCAGTATACCATGGAGAAAGTGGGCGAGTGGAGGGGCAGGTGGTGTGTGGTGCGCGCGCAGTAGGGGTTCAGCAGCACCTCTAACGACGTCAGACACGTCCCCACGCAGTCGCCTCTGCGCCGCACGCCCTGCTGCTGCTGCTGCTGCTGCTGCTGCTGCTGGAAGAGAGAGAAGTACGGCTGCTGCTCTTCCTGCACTCCTCCCTGTAGGGTCTGCTGTTGCTGCTGCTGTGAGAACAAGGTGAAATGCTGTTGCTGCTGCGGAGAAGCAAGGGCAGCGCGCACGTGGGCGGGCCACGGGATGAACACGTCTCCGCTCGCCTGCTGCACGCCCGCGCTAGTACCCGCGGCGGGGGACGCACGGATGTCCCACGGGGGGACGGCCGGGGCGGAACCAGGGACGGCGGTATCAGGAATGACAGTATCAGGCGCGGTGTTATCAGGCGCGGCAAAATCAGGGGCGGCGGAATCAACGGCGGCTTGTCGGGGGAGCGAGGGGAGGGCGCGCGCGGAGGAGCAGCTGGCGACGCTGCTGGCGACGCTGCGGTCGGAGGAGAAGGCGGTGTTGCTGCTGCTGCTGCTGCGACCCGACGATGACATCCACGGCGCGGCTCACGCGCGGGCACTCATGCGCGGAGTGTCATGCGCGGAGTGTCATGCGCGGAGCGTAATGCGCGGAGTGTCATGCGCGGAGCGTAATGCGCGGAGTGTAATGCGCGGAGTGTAATGCGCGGAGAGTAATGCGCGGAGAGTCATGCGCGGAAAGTCATGCGCGGAAAGTCATGCGCGGAGAGTCATGCGCGGAGAGTCATGCGCGGAGATTCATGCGCGGAGAGTCATGCGCGGAGTGTCATGCGCGGAGAGTCAACGGGATGCCGTGCGGAGAACGCCGCTGGCGGACGGTATCAGTTAGGGGTTAGAGACTGAAGCCAATGGCGGAAGGGGAGGGTCAATAGTGGAAGGCTAATAACGGAGTCTATGAACAAAGGACTTTCGGCAGCCGGTTGCGAGATTCGCGGACGCGTTTTCGGAGTGAGACAGCAACACCGAGCACGAAAGCGGGGCGACGAGCGACGACCCGAGGAAGGAGGGCAGAAACGGATAGACAGGTGGGGCTCGAGAAAATAGCACGCTAGATACGAACTAAGCGTCGTCGCTCAAGGCTTCTATTAAACGGCTAAACTGGGTTAGACACCGCCGCTGCCTGTGCGACCAACACATCGTCTTCGCGCGAACGCTGAGAGGCACCTGGTTGCACGGCAGTCGCGGCAGAGGCGGCTAGACGAAGCAGCTCGACAATGTGGAAGCACAGAATGGGACAATCAAGGGAGAAAAACGCGTGACGAGGAGGTCTGAGATGATGACGCGTTCGCGTGGCGTGACGCTAGCGGGAAGTATAAAGCAGCACAAGACTTGGCAATTTCACGTCACGTCCCACACAAGTGTGTGCGAGGAGGAGCCGCCCTGGGATAGTGGAGTGGACCCAACAGTAGCCGTCAAGCCCTAGGGAGTGTCACTTTTGTTCGGTGGGATGCGATTTTTCTGCGTGACAAAACGGTTTGTATACACATTCGTACGTTAGGATAGGATTTCGAGCGGAGGAGACGCCCGACATGAGTTGAACATGATAACAAGACTCGACGTTCAACGTCGTATGGGTTGCGTATGTGCTTAATACTCGATATAGACATGACACCGGCTAAAGTAGTGACTAATGTTCATGTGTTATTCCCCCATCTACAATTGTTTGTTCCCATTTATAATGAATTTTGGCCTGTATGTTACGATTAACGACAAATAAAACTTTTGACCTTTAGCAGGATTATATTATACACATATTAATATACTAATTGTAATTATTATAATTACTGATTTAAGCCAATTACTTGTGTCCTGTGTTAAAATGTATTACTTATACTGTAATAAGTGATTCTAGAATTGTTAGGGAACAGGGTCTCCGTTCTTGCTTTCGTCATCCTGTATTCTAGAGCTGAGTCACTTGAATTTCACGTGCTCACACGTGCAAACAGCACCAAACCCCAACACATCCCAAGAAACAAGACCAACAGGTGAAGACTTTCTTGCCATGATTGTACCTCATCTCTTCGAAAGCACTAGCCACCAGGAAATCGCCTTACGCCCGTGACAAACGCCCGGCGCCCGTGATAAACGCCCGTGACAAGCGACCGTGACAAACCCCCGTGATAAACGGCACGTTCGTGAGTACATTAGTGATATAACCCCTGCTGTGACAGCGCGCTCGCAGCTTGCGTGCTGACGCCTTGCTGCGCGCGGGTGCCTTGCTGCAGCAGCGCGCTGGTGGCTTGCGTGTCGGCGCCTTGCTGCGTCAGCGCGCTGCCGCATGATGCGGCAACGCGCTTGCGCCTTACTGCAGCGCGCCGGCACCTAGCGTGCAAGCCGCCAGCGCGCTGCTACGTGGGCGCCGTGCTGGCAGCGCGCTAGCGCCTTTCTGCATCGCATAGGCGCCTAACGCACTGGCGCCTAACGCGCTGGCGCCGTGAGCGTTGGCGCCATGCGCGTTGGCGCCTAACGCGCTGGTGCCGTGTGCGCTGGCGCCTAACGCGCTGGCGCTATGGGCGTTGGCGCCTAACGCGCTGGCGCCATGCGCGCTGGCGCCGTGAGCGTTGGCGCCTAACGCGCTGGCGCCATGCGCGCTGGCGGCATGCGCGTTGGCGCCTAACGCGCTGGCGCCATGCGCGCTGGCGCCTAACGCGCTAGTGCCGTATGCGCTGTCGCCTAACGCGCTGGCGCTATGGGCGTTGGCGCCTAACGCGCTGGCGCCATGCGCGCTGGCGCCTAACGCGCTGGTGCCGTGTTCGCTGGCGCCTAACGCGCTGGCGCTATGGGCGTTGGCGCCTAACGCGCTGGCGCCATGCGCGCTGGCGCCTAACGCGCTGGCGCCGTGAGCGTTGGCGCCTGACGCGCTGGCGCCATGCGCGCTGGCGGCATGCGCGTTGGCGCCTAACGCGCTGGCGCCATGCGCGCTGGCGCCTAACGCGCTAGTGCCGTGTGCGCTGGCGCCTAACGCGCTGGCGCTATGGGCGTTGGCGCCTAACGCGCTGGCGCCATGCGCGCTGGCGCCTAACGCGCTGGTGCCGTGTTCGCTGGCGCCTAACGCGCTGGCGCTATGGGCGTTGGCGCCTAACGCGCTGGCGCCATGCGCGCTGGCGCCTAACGCGCTGGCGCCGTGAGCGTTGGCGCCTAACGCGCTGGCGCCATGCGCGCTGGCGGCATGCGCGTTGGCGCCTAACGCGCTGGTGCCATGCGCGTTGGCGCCTAACGCGCTGGTGCCGTGTGCGCTGGCGCCTAACGCGCTGGCGCCATGCGCGCTGTCACCTAACGCGCTGGCGCCATACGCGTTGGCGCCTAACACGTTGCAGGGAGCACGTGAGGGGGCGCGTGAGGGAGCGCGTGAGAGAGCGCGTGAGGGAGCGCGTGAGAGTGTGTGAGAGAGTGCGCGAGAGAGTGCGCGAGAAAGCGCGTGACAGTGTGCAAGATAGAGTGCGCAAGAGTGTGTGCAAAAGAGCGCGTGGGAGAGTGCGTGCGAGAGAGCGCGCGAGTTTGCGCATGACGGAGCGCGTTAGAGAGCGCGAGAGTTTGCGCGTGAATTTCTGTTGCACTTACTTTGTTGTTTAGTGCATCAAGGAAGCTGCATTCTCTGATTTTGTTTTCTTGTGCAACTAATGCAAGTTGTATTCTCTGATTTTGTTATTGTTTGTGCAGGGAGTGAGTTGCATTCGCTGATTTTTCTTTCCTGTGCAGGGAGTTCAAGCTGCAGCCTTTGTTTCTTGCGGAGAATATGGATGGGGAGAAGGGAGATGAGGGAAATTAGGGAGGGAGGGAGGGAGGGAGGGAGGGGAATGGGGGACAGGATGGTGATAATTTATACAAGGCTGAAATTCATTCATTATGCTTGCATGCTTATTACAGTAGCTGTATGTTTTTGCGTTGTGTGTCTGTATATGTGTGAGCCTGTATGTGTGTGAGTGTGTACATGTGCATACGTGCGTTGTGCGTGCTTCAGGGTGTGGTGCTAAGTGCCTCATGAATGCAACTCGGATTGTGATCGTCGGTGGGGCAGCTTTGCTAGCCTCTTCCGTACCATATCAATCTCAGTTGCAGCACTGATGCATTTAGCATTCGCTTTGAAACATTCTTAAACGTTGTCTTCTGTTTTTGTAATCATTTATGTGTTATCGTTTGTGTTTGTTTCGGGGGTGTGGTGCTAAGTGTCTCGTGTATGCAACTGGGATTGTGATCGTCGGTGGGGCAGCTTTGCTTGTCTCTTCCGTACCATATCAGTCTCAGTTGTTGCATTGATGCATTTAGTATTTCCTTCAAAACATGTACGGCGGTTCTTGTATACCATCGTTCTTGTGGTCGTTTGTGTATGTGTGTCTCTCGTTGGTACTGTAGTATTTTTTGTGTTGTCCTTTGTGTTCGTGTGTCATTGGGTATCATATTTAGTGCTAGAACGATTCTCCAATTGTTCCATTCGCCGTACTTATCGACGATTATGGAATGATTGGAAACATTTGTTATCATTTTTGGGGGGAAGCTATGTGAACAGTGATTTCTTTCAAATTTTATAAGAGAAATTCACTGTTCACATCAGCCAACCGAAAAGTGAAAACGAATGTATAAGGTTGCTACGCAACCCAAAAACAAGGCAGATCTTTAGGACGCGTCCCCTGAACGCCGATCCTACGATCGATCGTGGGAAATCGATCCTCCACCGCACTAAAACTTTGCAAATCACTTTGAAAACTTTTAGAAGCTTTTTAAACCACGCAAAAAATCGATCTTCCGTAGGATCGATCTCAAGATCGGCGTTGAGGGGACGCGTCCTTAGGGCGTGTAACTTTTTTCCGGACCGACGGTCCGGATGGCGTGCGAAAGATTTCGTCAATGCTCGCATGCTCTCCAATTCGATAACAGGCTCAAACGGTCCGGACGGTGAGAGGGATACCCTATTTGCATGCCGTCCATATCGCGTGCTTCGGAAAGAAGTTACACGCCCTTAGAGAGACACCGACGTTTCCGCAGTCTGAGAAGGATCTCAAATCCCTCGGTCCACCCTGGCTCTATGCGGTCGATGGGGACCAGTCCACCAAACCATATCGGACCCAAGCGTGGACCCGCTCCCTGAGCGAATGTGGGCCGTGGGTGTAGCAAACCAGCACCCTCGTTTTCGCGGGCGAAAGGGACTATAATGGGGAGGTTATCCTGGTTCAGCGAGCTGGTCCACGTCGGACCCCTGAACAGTCATAGTATTGGCGAACAGTCACGAACTCCCCTCTCTCTGTCGCAAAATTGGCGCCCACACGCGTAAGGCGCAATTGTACTGTACAGTCTTGCGTCATGGTAACCCAGTTTCTCTCGCATACACGCTACTGTAGGGTGCATCTGCGGACCCAACAACAATGAGTCCGAAGTTGGTCACTCGGTTGGTCCACACTGGTCCGACGGACCAGCCCGGGGTATTTCTGGAGGCACAAATTCAGTGCCGGACCAGATTGTGACACGACTCTACGAGGAGTGTGCAGTGCAGTCGTCATAGCATTACAAATCTCGTTTTGTACAGCACACTCGCATGGCCAATTACAAATACTATCCTAACATGATAAGCGAATGTAAACGTATGAAATGGGGAGAGGGTGGGAGGGAAGCAAATGAAGATCTGAAAAATGCTAATGAGACTAGGTGGGAGGTCTGAGAGACCTGCGGGACTGTAAAGGAGGTTGTCTCCTTTACTGCAAACTCCTCTACTAGTCGAATCACAATCTTCAAATTTTTAAGTGAAACTTAAAATTTTACATATTGTGACACGACTCTACGAGGAGTGTGCAGTGCAGTCGTCATAGGTGAACGAGACATTAAGTAGGCGGGGAATGACGATGGCGTGCAAGGGTGGAGGCATAACGATGAGTCGCGCTAGGTCGCGATGGATCCTGGAGGGTACGCGATGCCACCACCAGCTCGCGATCGAGCTGGGTCACGTACAGCTCTCGAGCCTTGTCGCTACGCCACCGGCCAAGGGCCTTGAAGAGGCGGTCTGGCACGCCAACGTCAACAGCCACTGTGGCGGCAGACTTGCGGAAAGAATGTGTACCGAGTAGATTCGGGTTGAGGCCGACACGAGAAAATGCCTCGCGGCACCAGGCCCGAACTGTAGCGTAGGATGGGGAACGGTCAGAGGGCGAAGCCCGTGCAGCGGGTGAAAAAACCCGAATGAGTGCGCCTAATGTCTGTGCAGAAAAGACTGCAATGAAGAGAAATTGTTGTACGCGGGTGATTGGGCAGTGCCGAGCGGAAGAGGCGGCTACTGGGACCCAAGCGCCTGAGCCGGCCTGATCCGTTTTTGAACGCGGAATGAACAGCCACATGCAGTCACGGTCAAATTCGATTTGATGCCATTGAAGGGCGATCAGGTCGGAGAAGCGCAGGAAGGCTGCAAACATGAGAAGAGGGATGAGACCACGCTGAAACGTGGCAGGATCAGTCGACGAAAAATAGAGATCGCATATGTCGTATATCTTAGCTGGAGGTATCGGATCCTTTGCTCGTGACGGTTGGCCACAGTGACGCTGTGCGTATTCCTTTACTTGCGAGGAGAGCGGTCCTCGAATAGGAGATGGGCAGCCGACCAACCAATGGGCACATGAAATCGCAGAGCAAGCGGACCGTACGGACGAGACCGTAGCACACCTGCGTACTGAGTGCAACAAAAAAAGGGCGGTCGTCAGGTCGGTGGCCGGGAGAGCCGACAACGAATGCTGGTTACAGAATGTGCGATATTGTCGCCAGTAGGGTTCGTATGTGCGAATGGTCGATTGAGCGCGCAGATCGACTGTGAGAGTCAGAAGATCCATCAGCAAGCGTCCAATATAAGAACCAGCAAGTGTACATAGTTATATATTAGTATATGCCAAACGAAGAGCATACATATGTGAATGGGGAAGACCAGCCCCACTAAAGGCATGGGCATTGCTACCGACGCGTAGACATACGGAACCATGAGCGAGATACATGCTTGCGCATACAACCTGGGCCCATGTGGAGCCATCTGGGCACACTAATGGCCACCAAAAGGCGCTAGGCCATTCAGGGATCACAAGAGTTACAGCTGCCCGAGAACGGCGAGCGTGAGCGAGGACGGCGGGGATCAAGGCCGGCGGAGGAAAGGCATAGCAATTTTCCCCACCCCAGCTAAGAGCGAACGCATCTTGGGTGACCGCATGCGGGTCGTGGTCAAGGGAGCAGAATCGGGGCAACTGCGAATTGGACGATGAGGAAAATAGGTCGATTGTGTGTGGACCCCAAGAGCCTTCGAGTGCACGAAACCGCGTCCGTGCGAGAGAATAACCATCATGGCGATCAATCTTCAAAAGTGCGTCGGCTTCACAATTGAGCTCGCGGGGGATCCACTGCGCCGTGAGTCGAATCTTGTAACGCACGCAGAGTGTGATGATGGCGCGACAAATGAGAGTGAGCGCGGCATGGTGAGAGCCTCCTTTCTTTAAAATGTAATACGCTGCCTGGCTGTCACTGCGTAGCAAGACGTGTGAACGTTGGATCTCAAGGCGGAAGGTCGACAATGCCCAGAGGATCCCGGCAAGTTCGCGAAGCGTGCTCGAGGCGTCTGATAGCGCACGAGGAAAAGGCGAGGAATGTGAGCCGACCCTGCCCTCAGGGGTGGAATAGCAGCTTCCCCAAGCATGATCGCTTGCGTCCACGTACAGTACGATGTCATAGACGTGCTGGTTATGGAAACCAGAGCCATTGAAAACGTCGAATTGAGTCAACCAGAACTGCAACTCGTCGATTGAATCCGGTGTCAACTGTATGGATTCCCCCCAAGACTGGCATGCACTGATTTGTGAGATCAGGTTATGGGAAAAGGCGCGAGCGATGGTACCAAGTGCCATGGCCATAGAAGCTAGCATGCCAGTGACTCTAGCCGCGCGCCGAACCGGGATGCGACGCCCCTGCGTGCTGAGCCGACATATTTGCTCAACTTCTTCAAACAAACGATCTCGGCGAGTGGCATCGACTGAAAAGGATGTTGTACGGGTGTCTAACATAAGGCCGAGGAATTTTAGCCATTGTGATGGCTCGAGCTGTGATTTCTTCATATTCACAATGAAGCCGGCGGACCCAAGGTCGTTCAGGATAATGGACCGGGTTTGGAGCGCCTCGGCCCTTGTAGCACATATGAACAAGAGGTCGTCGACGTAAGGTATTAACCGAATCCCGTTGCTGCGCCAGCGCTTGGCCAGTTGCTTTATTAATTGTGTGAAAACGAATGGTGCCGTGGCGAGCCCAAACGGCAATGAGAGAAATTGGTAGCGTTGGCCTTGCAGAGAAAAACCGAGGAACCGCCAAAATGACGGGTGAATGTCCACGTGGTGATAACCCGACTTGAGGTCTACTGTGAACAACCAGTCATCTCGACGTACTAGGTCGGGGACCCTGTTGAGTCCTTCGTACCGGAATCGAGGAATAGAGAGAAACGAGTTTACATGACGAAGGTCTAATATGAGTCGTTTCTTCGAAGGTTGGACAACCACATTAAGTGGGCTAACGCATGTGAGCGGCGCATCGACAGGGACGAGACGGGCTGCTCCGGTGGCAATTAGGTCGGCCACTGCCTCAACTGCAAATACCGAGTGTTGCAACGCGCCCGAGTGGTTCGAGGCATGGTGAGGGGTAGGCTCGTTTGATCGCCACGGCAGCCGATAACCTGATGCTACAACGGATAAGATGAAACGACTCGTGCACCAAGAATTTCACCATGTGGAGCGATCGCGCAAACGTCCTCGCATGTGCTGCACGGTGGCGTGTGGCTCATCCATGTCAGGTATGAAGCCAAAATCTGGTGGGGCATGGACAGGGACGCGAGTAAGACCACGATAGTGAGTCAAACATGACTGTACCAAACGATGTCAACGTAACAAACTATGCAATGACACCGCGGCGCAAAAGCGTAGCCGAAGAATGAGGCTTGCGTGCCAAGCAATGTCTACTACGATGATTTCTATCAAAATATCTTTTGATTTGATACTTGTTGTGTGTATATATATATATATATATATATATATTTTTTTTGCTCAAACGGAGGGACCAATTGAGGTTCTGTAATATACCCACCCCTGTGTATGAGGGGAACATATTATAATACTAGTCTTATTATTATTATTTTTAATATATATATATATCATCTCTTGCCATGGTGCAACAAGCCCATTATATAAAAATCTTGGTTTTTTTTTTGTAACATTTATGTCAAATAATCTTGTATGAGAATAAATATAACAAGCATCCATTCTAAACAATCTTAGCAGGCTGGTTAGCCCCTTGGCCCCGCTGCGGGCAATCTGCTATTCCGTGGCCGGGCTCGCGGCAATAGAAGCAACGCCCATCGCCATCCCTACGCCAAGTCCATTGGCGTTCTCCTTGGCCTCGATTGCGAGGAGCGGGATTGGGGCGAGTGGAGGTGGTGGGCCTGTGCGGCCTCTTTTTGCTAGCCGCCACGATCTGAGTAGCGGCCTTGACGTTTTTGTCCTCCACCACCTCGCCGTACTTAATCTTTAAAGCCATATTTGCTACTTCAAAGCCGCGCTGATCCGCGGTGAATAGGAAATGAATCTTTTCTTCAGCCTCATCAATGATTTGCTGAAGGTAATCAGCAAGTTGCTCGCCGCCTTAAGACGGTAAGATAGAAAAAGCGTGGCGTGCAATTGCTTGAATGCGTTCGAAACTAAATAATTGAGTGCGAATGCCGTCGCTTTTGACGAGAGATGAGCGCAGCTGAGGACGAGCGGGCGGTATAGGAGCGAGATTAAGTGGTGCTGGGGCCTTAGGACGAGCGGGATTACCTTCGTCGAGGTTCTCGAGATTAGTGTGATCGCCGTTGTCGACGCCCTCGGGATCAAGAGGGGGAGGAGGAGCGCGGGAACGAGGTGCCGCTGGAGCTGCCGGGCGCACAGGATCTGCCGCTGCTGCAGGATCTCCGTTGTTGCCGCGTTGAAGCGCCGCGAGGAGGCCGATCGTGTGGCGAATTGCATCATTATTATCCGCAGCCGCTCCAATGTTTGTGTCGGTATATCGCGCCGAGTTATTCTCAGCTGCACGGCGTCCCGTAGAAGCGCTGGATCTCGCTATACCGCGGTCGCCGGCTGTTTCGGTGAAGATTCGCCGCAGGTTGTGCTGACTCGCGGGGTCAAGGCGAGCAATGATTTCGGCAATTTCCGAAATCCCCGCTGCCTGATTTCGCGGATCCTGCTGCTCGCCCTGATTCGCGCGTCGATTTGCCGAATCGGGCCGGCGATCCGCTCGTGCAGGGTCCAGATTCTGTCGCGGCCCACGTGCAGGATCTCGCTCGCGATTTGCCCGAGCAGAATCGCGCTCGCGATCTGCACGAGCAGAATCGCGAAGATTGCGATCTGCACGTGCAGATTCGCGATTCTCACGATCTGCTTGTGCAGGACCGCCATCATTGCGGTCCTGCGCCTGCACTGTTGGAGCCTGTCGAGCTGGGGCGTTTTCGCCGGGCTGGGACGGGTCGACGGTTGCACGCGAAATTCGCCCTTCGCCGTGAAATCCGGAGGGCCCGCGCTCGTTACCGCCATTGCGACCAGGTCCGTGGGCGACCATTTCGGGAGCGGAAACAGGGGGTTGCCTCGCATTCAACAGCTCCAAAGCGGATGAAGTCGTGGTTCCGTTGTTCCGACGCGGAGATCGCGAACGGTCACGCTGGGAGGAGGATCCGCGATCCTCGTCCCTTTGCGGGGACCCACGCCTGCCGCTGCTGCGCGTAACCATTCTTGGAGCGGGAGGGCGACCGGTTACTGCGGAAACAAATCCAGTAGCCATAGCAGAAAGTCTTACGCTGACCACGTCGTTGATGAGAGTGCTCCTATGCCTATTTCTAGGCATAGGAGGGGTTTAGGGAGTGTGCTGGTGGTAAGCAAATGAAGATCTGAAAAATGCTAATGAGACTAGGTGGCAGGTCTGAGAGACCTGCGGGACTGTAAAGGAGGTTGTTTCCTTTACTGCAAACTCCTCTACTAGTCGAATCACAATCCTCAAAATTTTAAGTGAAACTTAAAATTTTACATGTTTTGGCAGACTGGCGGACCAGCCAAAGTGAGACACGTCCTGATCTTGGTGGAAAGCGTTCCCCTGTTGGACATCGCCGTGATCCATTCGGGGTGAAACGACGTAACTTGTCGCAAGTCCACTGGCACGTAAAATCGTCTCACACAGCCCATCCACTCCGAGTTCGCGATTCTCGCGAGGGTGACTCGAGCGAAGGAATGTGCACCAAACCCCCCTGTGCCCATGCACCAGGGAAACAAAACTCCAGAAAATCGGAGACCCTGACGTACAGGCCCCAAAACTTGTGCCAAGCGGTCACTCACTCCCCCGCCGTGCTTTCTGTTGTCTGAAGGATCTGTTGGATCCTGTTGGATCAGGGACTCTTGCCCTGTTCGGCAGCACTTCGGGAGCACTAAAAACTGGTCATCTTGGCCGTTGGGAGCCTGAAAAGTGTTCATGTTGGCCGTTGAGGGACAACATCGTGTGGTTCGGCACCACCAAAATCGCCTGCGACCCTCATGCGACAAGACTTCATTCCGAGCTACCCACCCCACAAAACTCCGAACCCCTCGCCCCACCCCAAGCCTGACGTGGGCCCAGAAGTCAGACAGCGACCAATCACAAGGAGGGAAGGCCAGAAGATGGTTGCTCATCGTTTCAACATGAGCACCCATCTTCCGCCTCATTGAGATTTCCATTTCGGGCAGCGTGGGGGGTAAACCCAGCGTCCTCCAAGTGCCCTCCTGCCCAGATTGGGGGTACTTTGAAACATGTGCATCGCCGGCAAAAGGCCACGCGAACACACAAGTTCCAGCCCAGTGCAAAATTAGGGTTTGTGGAGCAACTTTTTTTCCAACTTTCCGTCCGCAGGTGGTCTGACCGAAGGGTGACCCAAGGCCATAAACCTTAGTGAGGTAGATGGGTGGAGGGATTCTTGGGTCGTTCATGTTGGCCGTTGAGGTCCACCACCCTGGTCTAATTTCTCTGTCTTATGCGCGGACACTGTAGGTACAGCTTAGATTTCGCTAACGTGTTGCCACGGTGTCAGCCCGGCAAGTTGCATTTGGTGGAACAACACCCCAACGTTCGGCACCACACCTCCCGCCTAACACCGAACCTCGATGGGCAAAAACGTGCAATTTTGCAGTCGAACAGGGCCTCTGTTGGATCAGACCTGTACACCGAAACTGCGATAATTCCACACCCCGTACGCTTCCTTGGCCAGACACCCTACATGGTTTTCGGTTCAACTAGACGGACACCCTGACATTACAGGTCTATCAACATATAGGATAATCAAACAGCCAGACTCGTGAAACTCACACTTTACGGTAGGATTGAGTGAGAAATCACCTCTGCCATGTTTGTACTTCCGGAAAGCTCGCGACGATGCATCATTGTAGCCCCGATAAATCGCATGCCCCTTGTGGAAACATGCCAATTCAGACACAATAGAAGCATCCATGACAGCATGTGATGGGGATGTAAATGCATCGTCTTGTTTCCATCACATGCTGTCCCCGCATGCGTCTTTCTGTTGGGTGCGGGGTTGGTGTTTCTCGTCCACCCTCGAGGCTTTCGGACAAAGCGAGTCAGGCCTCGGGTCGCCGTCATGCTTAGCGCCCAGACCCCCGAACAAGTTGGCGGAGCGGAATTCGACCCGACGGATCCTTTCGCGATTTTTGCGGCGGCACTGAGGGTGAAGAACAGGGAGGCGGAACTTCCCGCTGACACAGACTCCGCGGGCGCTGTCTCCGCGCGGCCCGCCACCGCGGCCCCGCTGCCCCAACACCCGCCGGTGCGGTTCAACCAGGACTCCACGTTCTTCGCGTACGCAACGCACGGCGGCTTTCGCGTATTCCAGTGCGACCAGCTGAGGGAGATTCTGCGGCGCGAGTTTGAGGGGCGCGGCGTGGGCATGGTGGAGATGCTGTTCTCCTCCAGCTTACTCGCGCTCGTGGGCGGCGGTCCCAACCCGTGCTACCCGCCGAACAAGGTGCGGCGAGGAGAAGAGAGAGGTGTGACGAGATCTGGGAACCCGATAGAGGAAAAGGAGGTACGGCAGGGGAGGAGTGTAGGTGAGGGGAGGAAGGGGGGTGAGGGGAGGAGGGGAGGTGAGGGGAGGAGGGGAGGTGAGAGGAGGAAGGGAGGTGAGGGGAGGGTGAGGGGACATGAGCTGAGGTGAGGGGGGAGATAAGAGAGAAGGTGAGAGGGGAGGTGAGAGGGGAGGTGAGAGGGGAGGTGAGAGGGGAGGTGAGGGGACACGGAGTGAGAATAAGGCATGGAGAATTGGGGTGACAGTCACACCCGGTGCATAGGCAAGAGGGTTCGTTACAATCGTTGCTCTTCTTGTGTCGTTCCCTCTCCCCCCTCTTACCCGATGACCTGTGAGGACGGCGGGAGCTGACCCATCCCTGCTCTTTCTTTGTGTGCCGTTCCCTCTCCTTCCAGTCTCCCCCGCATTCTCACATCCCCTCTCCCCCCCCCCCGTTCACCTACCTCAGGTGATGATTTGGAACGACAAGGAGAGGCGGTGCATTGGCGAGCTAGCCTTTCGCAGCGAAGTGAGGGGCGTGCGGCTGAGGAGGGACCACATCGTTGTTGTGCTCGAGCACAAGATCCTCGTGTACACCTTCCCTGGATTGAAGCTAGTGCACCAGGTGATGCCTGCACCAGGTGATGCCTGCACCAGGTGATGCCTGCACCAGGTGATGCCTGCAATCAGGTGCGGCTGAGGAGGGAGCGCATGGTGGTGGTGCTGGAGCACAAGGCGTATATCTTCAACTTTCCTGACTTGAAGCTGCTGCACCAGGTGATGCCTGCTCTAGGTACCACCTCACATCACACTGGCAGGTGGAGACGTTGTGAAACCCCAAGGGGCTGTGCAAGGTATCCCAGTCAGTCAGACCAGCCCAGTGGCTTGCTGGTATGCATCTGCCTCATTCCATCATGCGCCTGTGTCAATTCCTCACCACCACCACCGCCACCACCACCACCACCGCCGCCGCCGCCACCACCACCACCACCACCACCACCAACATCCTTCTTCCCTTGTCGAATCCCAAGGGAGGGGCTGTGCGCGGGTGTCCCAGTCGCCCGACAGCTTGTGATTGTTTGCATGCTGCCATTGCTGCTCCATGCGGCACAGCACAGCACAGCACGTTCCTGTGCCCTTCCCCCCCACCCACCACGCCACTGCCATCCCGTGCCTGGCAGGTAGAGACGCCCACGGGGCTGTGCGCGGTGTCCCAGTCGCCCGACAACTTCGTCCTGGCGTGCCCAGCCAAGCGGCCGGAGGATGCTCGTTGGGATGGTGGAATGGTGGGTGTGATGGTGGGTGGGATGGTGGCGGGATGGTGGGTGGGATGGTGGGTGGGATGGTGGGTGGGATGGTGCCACATGCCATGCCACATGCCATGCCACATGCCATGCCACATGCCATGCCACATGCCATGCCACATGCCACATGCCATGCCACATGCCATGCCACATGCCATGCCACATGCCATGCCACATGCCATGCCACATGCCACATGCCACATGCCACATGCCACATGCCACATGCATGCGTGCAAGCATCCGTCAGTTCGCCACGTGTTGTGAGAGTCTCAAATCTTCAACGTCCGCCCCTTCTCCGCTCCCCTGTCGCGTGGATCCTTCCGATCAGCGCCACATACACTTCATTGTCACCCCATGACTTGGAGCCCACTTCTCCTCTTCCCCCTCCAACTTTTCTCTCTCCCGGAGGAAGCCTCTCTTCTTCTATCTGTTTGCCTTTGAACGTACCCCCCCCTTCTTCCTCAGATCCGCATGGAGCGCTTGGATCAACGCCACAGCACTTCGTAGCGGCTTATGACTGCCCCCAGGCTCCCAGAACCATAATCTCTTCCTCTTCCCCCAGCCTTCACACCCCCCAGCCCCACCCATTGTTCTCCGCCGTCCTCCCATCCATCAGATCTGCGTGGAGCTGTTTGAAGAGCGCCGTGGGTACGTGCGCGGCGCAAGCTTCTCTCAGCCAGCCTGCATGGCGCTTTCTCTGGACGGGAAGCTGCTGGCCACCGCCAGCAGCAAGGGCACGATCATTCGGGTGATCAACACGGCGGATGGGACGAGACTGCACGAGGTACTGCACCACCATGTGCCATGCGTGCACCTCCATGAGCCATGCGTGCACCTCCATGAGCCATGCGTGCACCTCCATGAGCCATGCGTGCACCTCCATGAGCCATGCGTGCACCTCCATGAGCCATGCGTGCACCTCCATGAGCCATGCGTGCACCTCCATGAGCCATGCGTGCACCTCCATGAGCCATGCGTGCACCTCCATGAGCCATGCGTGCACCTCCATGAGCCATGCGTGCACCTCCATGAGCCATGCGTGCACCTCCATGAGCCATGCGTGCACCTCCATGAGCCATGCGTGCACCTCCATGAGCCATGCGTGCACCTCCATGAGCCATGCGTGCACCTCCATGTGCCATGCGCGCACCACCGTGTGCCATGTATGCACCGTGGATGTGTGTGCGTGTGTGCTCCTTACCCCTCCGTGCCCCTGCTCCCTGCTCCCTGCTCCCTGCTCCCTGCTCCCTGCTCCCTGCTCCCTGCTCCCTGCTCCCTGCACCCTCTTCCCTGTTCTTCCCTCTTGCCCACATCTCAGCTGCGTCGAGGAGTGGAGAGAGCAAACATCTACAGCCTCGCCTTCTCCCCCAAGGCGCCCTTCCCGGTGGCTGCCAGTGACAGGGGCACTGTGCACGTGTTCTCGCTGGGGCACTCCCACTCCCACGGGCAGGCGCAGGGGCAGGCACAGGGGCAAGGGCAGGGGCAAGGGCAGGCGCAGGGGCAGGCGCAGGGGCAGGGGCAGGAGGATGGGGTTGGGGGTATAAGGGGGAGGGGGGAAGGGCAGGGCATTGGGGAGTGGTGGAGGAGCACTGTCGTCATTGGGATTGTTGAAAGGTGGGTCATTCGAATGGTGGATTATGTTAAGGTTTAGTTTTTTTTTCAAAGGGTTGGGTTTTAAGCGGTATGGTACTTGAGGGGTGTTACAAGGGGTGTGTTTCAGGACGGGTGTATGGCGTTATAATAGGGGGGTATGTTAGGGTAATTGGCGTGCACATGCAGTTGCTCCCTGCTCTCATGCTACTCCCCCTGTGTCTCTTGCCTATCCCTCCACGTCACTTCAGTGGCGAGCGCTCCCTTGCTTCTATTACTACCCCGGTCGCCCCGCTCATTTCCTGCCTCTCCATAACCTCGCTTGCCATGACTCCTCCCCTCCCAACCCCCAGAAGTCCTTTCCCCCCAAAGTTTTTTCAATGACAAGCATTTCTAAGAACTGAAAATCCTCCCGGAGAAGTACTTCAGAGAGCGCTCTCTGGCCTTCTACCGCACCGGCGTGCACACACACATGCTCGCTGCCTTTGGGGCCGACCCAAACACCGTCATCGTGGTCGGTAGCACTGGAGCGTACGTGTGCCGATACGCCTGCCTATGCCATTCTGTGCTAATACGTATATGGGCACGGGTTTGTATTTTTACAAGTTATTCTATCGAGTCTTGTGTGGAACTTGGATCTGATTGATATCAGAGTTGGTTTCTTCCAGTGTCTCCCATGATTCAATCCTTGCTTTAGTTGTTTTTTCGTGTGTCTGTGTCTCTCCCCTCCCATCAGGTATTACAAGCTTCAGTTCGACCCACAAGCAGGCGGTGAAATGAAACTATTGGATGAGGCTAACTTTCTCGCGACTGAAGATGAGCATTAATACCGGTACTGAAGAATGATTACCAGAATACCCTGGATATAAGGCCCTAGAGGGGGAGGGAGAGGGGGAGGGGAGAAAGGGGGGTTTATTGGCACATATGTTATAAGACCCGGGTCTTAAATATGTTTTTACAAAAAAAAAAAAAAAAAGGTTCCCTACCGTATTTGTATTGGTGCCAATTGAAATTTGCAGGTTGGCCAAAAATACGGGCGGGGGTGTGAGTGTCTCTTCTGCACCCTCGGCCATTTGACATGTGGCATCACTCTAAACACTAGACAGACTCAAATTCATCAGCCTGGCAGTGGTGTGAAGAACCAATACGTTCTGCGGTGACTGCGCAATACCCACATACTCTCATCGGAAGGGGAAAAAATTCTTGATCTCTTTGTATCTATTATAAAAACTAGCAAACTGAGCATGGGGGGAATTATAATGATTTCACTAGTAAAGGGAGGTGTAACTAAAACTGACAGAGTACCCCTCCCCCTATTATAGACCCGGGGGTCTACAACTTGGATGGTGGAGGTTGGGGGGTTTTTAAGACGTTGGAATACATCTCCTCAGTTATTTGTTTTCTGACGCATGCTTCTTCCCCCAAATGAAGAGCATGTGTACTCGTTACCTTGCTCCACCCAAGCTAGGCATGCATGCCTCAAGCAGCCTCCCCTCATGCACCTAGCCTCTTGCCCAAGCAAGCGTGCACCTGCATCTTCCAACTGCACCGCACGAGTTCCACTCCCCAATTTTCCAACTATCAGCAACATGGAAGCTAGGCCGTGCACAACAATACCTCCATACCTCACTCCTAAGCATGCATGGCACACACTTCATTCTTCACTCCCTTTGCCTCCCTTTTCCTCAGTCTTCCTACCTAGACTGTCACGTCCTTCCTCAACTCCCTCACCTCAACTTCCTTTCCATCATCAAGCCCTGCCACCCTATCTCCCTATTTCTCAGTGTGCATCATCGTTCGTAAGGCAACCCCCTTCAGGCGGGTAAAGCTTTGTCAGCTTGGTCAGGCCCCTCAGCTCCTGCAGCCCATCATCCGTGACTGCGGTTCCATTCAGCCAAAGCTTCTCAAGCCCCGTCAAGCTCCCCACATGCACCATGCCAGCATCTGTAACACTGCATTCACCAAGCCCTAGCTCTTTGAGTGATGCAATGCGTGTAAAATGCGGCAGACCAGCATCAGTCACCTTGGTATCATAAAGATAGAGGATCTCGAGATTGGTCAAGGCCCCAATGCCTTCCAAGGCATGGTCTGCTATGTCCGTGCTGTTCAGGTTTAGCGACTGGAGTTGTGGCAGCCGGTAGAGATGTTGGATGCCCTCTGCAGTGAACCCTGAGCTAGAGTACAGGGCAACATGCTTCAGCTGCTTCATGCTGGACACGTGCTCGAGCATGGCGTTTGAGATGCTGTTGAGACCCGCCAGGCTTAGATCATCAGTTCCGTGTGATGCTGAATTGATTCGCTGGCGGAGATGGGTGAAGAGGGAAAGATAGACAAGAATGGTGATTACCCTGTCAACATGTATGCACTGTCAACATGCATGCCCTGTCGACATCATGCCCTGTCAACATGCGTGCCTTGACATATGCATGCCCTGTCACATGCATGCCCCGTCACATGCATGCCCTGTCACATGCATGCCCGGTCACATGCATGCCTTGTCACATGCACGCCCTGTCACATGCATGGGCGGTCACATGCATGACCTGTCACATGCATGGCCTGTCACATGCATGACCTGTCACATGCCCTGTCAAAGAGATCACTCAAACGAGCACTCACCTGCCAAGCAGTCCTCTGATGGCCGTCACTCTGGATGATTCCCACCTCAACACTCAACCCCTTTCTGCACTCTGCCAGCTCCTCCCTAAGACGTGGCCAAATCACCTCCTGCACCTCCCTCCTCCTCTCCTCCCTCTCCCGTGCCAACTCCGCTCTCACCTCATCCTCTCTCATCCTCATCTCCTCCCGCAGAGCTCTCAAATCCAATTCTCTTCTCCTCTCAGCCATCTCCCGCTGTTCAGCCAGCTCCCTCCTCACTGCTGCCAACTCAGCTGCCACCTCTCCCCCCCTCTCCTCCGCCTGCCTTATCATCTCCCTCATTCTCGTCACCAACATTCCTTCCAGCTTGTGAGTCCCAGCCATACTAGACATGACAGCCCCAGCAGCCTCGCCAGCTCTATGCATCCCAGCACAGGCACAATTTCTACCTCATGGCACCACAGGGGACCGATTGGATACAAACGGTGTGGCAGCACACAAGAACACGCAGCAGAGTGAAGCAGCACACGGTACATAAATGGTTAGGAAGATCAAATGCGATGCGAGTGGAGCATATGACGTAGTTGAGTCGACAGAAAGGGTAAATGAACAAAGACAGAGACCTCAGCTTTAGGCAGCATGGATCTGTGAGGGCATTCGCTGTCAATAATGTCAAATGATGGGCAATGTGATATACCAGTATTACAGAGTTTGTAAGCTAGATATGAGTAGCGCTGCAGCAAAGAGTTTTGAAACAAAGGAACCATGGATAGAGTAGCAGGAGAAGGAAGCAAGAGGGCATAATGGGGTCACAGAATCGGGGGTAGAGGCTGAATGCATATCACAAGGCTTAAAAGTACACGCAAATGGAACAGGCATATCACAGGCATGATTTTGTAGAATGGGACAGGCACGGTAAGCAAATGGACCCCGGGATGATGGTGAGGGGCAGCACACTCACATGAGGCTGTGCAGCAGATGACAGATTCCACGATGCTGCAGCATGGTGAGGGTGAAGGGATGTTACGAGAAACGGAGGGAGGGGGAGAGGATGAGAGTGGGGGAATGAAGGCGAGGAGGAGTGAGCTCAGGAGGGAGGGGAGACGAGATTGCACAAAGACAGGCTGCAGTGTTGAGAGGACAGAACGTGTTGCATACCATCAGCCCAGCCGTCACAGCCAAGCCCTGCTGATGCACCCATGCTCTGACCTGCATGTGGGTCACGCCCATCCCCCACATCAGTGCCATGAGCGTTGCAATGGCAGAGTATAACACCATCAGAAGAGGGTACTGCGGACATGGGATACATGGGGTATAAGTGAATGGTAAACCCAGCAAGATGTGAGAAGCAGTTATGTCGAAACCCAACAGAACGCAAAACCTTGATAGAGTGATTGCAGCAAGACGGCTAGGCTAGTTCAACGGCCAGTCATCCCAACACGCACCAGGGTGTTGATGGTCTGAAGAGGCGGGTTGGGAGCGTGGGCATGCAGAAGAGAGAGAGGTCCGCCTGTGGCAGTGGCATTGTCCTGAGAGGGAGAGAAGACATGGGAGGATGCATAGTAGGACATGCAACATGCACACACACACTCATGCACATGCATGCACACACAGTAGACAAAACGCAACAATTGGAAATACATAATCGTATTCCTGCGTGACAAGGAAAGAGCAGCATGTAGGAGGACCTTGAGCTTACATGAGTGGGGGAAGTAGAGGTGAGCATGAGAGGGGGCTTGACTTGCTCTTGCTGGCTGCTGGTGTCAACCCTGCCAAGTGGCAAGATGCTGATGGCGGCGGTCAGAAGGATGGCGAGCAGCAGCCCTGGCAGCAACATGGCCACTGCAGTCTTCCGAGCCATGGCTGATAAGGAGAGCCCAATGCAAGGCGCGCGGAAGGGCGAATAGGGGGAGGGGAACAGTGGCAGGGGAAGGAGGGGCTAAGCGGCCTGCACAGTGAGGTGCGGCAGGGCGAGTGGGGAAGGGGTAAGTTGGAAGGAGGCGGGTATAGGGTTGAGATTAAGGCGAGAGGGGTGTCTACAGTGAGGTGGGGCGGGAGCAAGCTATGGACAGAGGAGGAGGAGGAGGAGGAGGAGGAGGAGGAGGAGGAGGAGGAGGAGGAGGAGGAGGAGGAGGAGGAGGAGGAGGAGGGAGGAGGAGGAGGAGGAGGAGAAAAAAAATAGGCCAGAGATGGCAGTTGTTCAATGAGTGCACGGGAGGGGACGAGGAAAGGGATGGAGAACAATGGAGCATATGGGTATGGTGGTCAAGTGCTTGCCGATAAGACGGGAGGCGATGTGAGCAAGTCAGGTCACATGAACGCACGGGTGGGCCAGTTTGATCAGACTCGCAATGATCGATATGAAAGATGTAAATCTAAGGGCGGGTGAGGGTTGAGGACTGGGAGACAAGAGCAGGTGGCTGACCTCACAAGGTGCGTGGCAAGGAAAGAGATGGATGGTGTGGAATGGCTGGAGCACTCGGAACGATAGAATTTGTTGCGTTTTGCGCCAACTCAAAACACATCTGGTTGCAGAGAAACGAGCAGATCAAGTGCATACAACGCAAGGACGAGGCGCATAAGGAGAGGGAGAAAAATGTTGAGTCTGTTCGGTGAGTAGTGGATAGAGGTATGCACGATACTAAGACAGCAGCAAGGGGAGGGATGGACGCGGAGGAGAGGGCTAGAAACAAAGAAGCCAGGAATACCTTCCTCGTGAGATCCCCCCCCCCTCCCCCCTCATGAGATTCCCACCTCACGCGATGACAGCAGAGAAGAAATCGACTGACGGTGTAGCGAGAAGCACGAGTTTGCGGCGGCAGGGAAGGAGCAGCTGAGGAGGTGTGCGACCCTGTGGGTTCAAGTAGACACGGGGATGACACGCAGGGGGCATGGGAGGGGAGACGGGTAAAATGTACAGTGGAAAATAGGTGGCACAGGATTTAGCGTAAGGGTGGAGAATTTTCTTTAGTGACAACGTGAGGATGCAGTACGGCTAGTTAAGAAAGTGGAAAACATGAGCGCAAGTCTGGTGACAGAAGTAGCAGCAGCAAGTTGAAGAGTAGCAGAAGGGGTGAGTTGGATTTGACATGAGAAGAAGTGATCAACGGCAGAGGCGAGCTGAATTGAACAGAAGACATGCAACGTCTGTGGAGCAAGGCAGGGGTGGAAGGGAGGAGCAGACACAGGAACGCAGCGCGGAAGAAGTGACAGTGGGGCAGCACTAACAACAGGAGACAAGACACACGGGAAGAGAGGTCACAGTGAGGCAGCAGCACTGGCACCCGTGCGTACCTAGTGTGTGGAGGTGGCAGATGAGCTAAATGGCAGCAGCGAGAAGAGCGTTGGAAACAACGCGCCTCTTAGCAGACAGACGGACAAGTGTGTGTGGCCAAGGGGCGAAGGAGCGCACAGGAGGAGAGGCTGACGGCAGCAGGCGCTGCTCAGCAGTCAGGTTGACAAAGCTCCGCAGCACAGGGGGGAGAAACAGTTGTGAGGAGGATTAACGCCACGACGAAAGGGAGAGGACGTATGCTGGCAGGCGAAATTCGACGGAAGTGGGAAAGCTATGCTTGCGTTACTTCCGAGAAAGGAGCGAGGGAGGAGGAGGGAGGAGTGAAGGAGAAGCAGGGAGAGGATGGCAGCGGATTGAGGATGAACGAGGGAGGACATAAGGGAGGCATGTTACCTCCGAGCCGAGGCGCAATGAGCCATGCATGGCACGCGCTGTTCGTGCCGCACGCCTAATCGAACACGCTCAAAGGTTCATACGCCCGGACAACAGTAAAACGCGGGCGAATGCGGGATCGCTTCCACCCGCTCGCGGAAGCTGTCTGCCCGCGGGCAAAAAAAAACTAAAACCCACTCGAAAGGCATGCGGTTCGGGAGGCATCAACCCTAAAATTTTAGGGTTGAGGCTCCCGAATGGCATGCAGGTCGCGATGGGTTTTAGTTTTAGTGCCCCGGGCAGACAGCTTCCGCCCATGGGCACGCCTGGTGGGTTCGAAACCCACCGGGCCAGGCGCCCGGTGGATTCGAACCCACCAGGGCTCACACGGCCAAGCCATCGCGCCGCACGCCCACCAGCCGTGCATCCTGGTTGGCTCATCTATTCGTCGCGCCGCTCGCCTCTCTTCCATCCCATTCGTCGGTCCTTGTCGTTCGGCATCGCCGCCGCACGTCCGAATCCAACATATCGCATTCTACCAACGAGCACCGAACAGAACCCGCGCTCCAATCCCAGTTGCTAAATCGTAGGGTCCAACACCAATATAATCTAACGAACGCATGTACTCGATCGCGAGCGCACAAGATTGAACGGTGTGGCAGCGCGAGACATCGAGACCCATTGAACTTTCTTGCGAGTCCTGGTAACATTGAGCCCTCGCCTCGTCCCGTCGTCGATCGCCACTGCCGTGCATGCCGCGCTCAGCGCGCCGTGCTGGCAGTGCTTGCAAGTCGAGACAACTAAGCGTCGATCTTCTCGCACTCGCATGGTAAAGGAAAATTGCGCACATCGAACTTTCCACCCCTCGCACGGCGCGGCATCATCGCTTATACAGCGCGTTGGGGGAATCTGACGAGAGCGACGTCGAGTTGTTCGGGTGCCTGTCACAGCGTTGGCTGCCCTCTCGCTCATCACTGGATCGACCCTGCAACAATGTTCAAAAAGAAGGCGGCTGGAAGTTCAGTGAAAGACGATGAAAGCCGAGGTTGTCTGTGCAAAACTGTTCTGACTTATAATGCATGAACTTGGTAACACCGTGTTACAGCGTAGAATTGCTTTTGACTAAAGTTCCCGACCGCACGACACCGCGCTAACTGTTATCTGAACCCTCTGTTTGAGCTGCTTTGGACATTCCCCTTCGATCCGAATTCGTTTTCTTACAAGACCCCGTAGACCCTTGTTTCCTGGGAATCCTAATCTGAGTTGCTGTCGCGTCGCGCTAAACGAGTTTCGGTGATTTTAACATTCTAATAGCGCTTACATCGCGTTAGCACGAGCGACGGACACCAAATAGCACATTCCCTCCGACCTGCTCGCACGCTTGTGCAATTCCCTCAAATCGCCCGATGGTTCAACCGCCCCCTCACTGATTTTATTCCTCACCAGCATAGCCAGGCAGCATTTCGAGTTATCCCACGACCTATTTCACAAGAGAACCTGGTCACTCCACGTGGTGGATGATGTTCGCATGGCATACTCGTGGTCCCCATCCGAGGCATCGCAGCTTACTGTCCGACGCCTGCGAGATCTCCTCGCCGCGTCACGCGGCGTCGCGTATCAAGAAAATCATCGCTGCCATACTCTCTGCACAACATCCCATCTTCACCAGCACAGCCGGCTGCATTTTCGGGTTATCCCACGAGCTATCTCACGAGAGAACCTGGTTACTCCACGTGGTGGATGATGTTCGCATGGCATGCTCGGGGTCCCCATCCGAGGCTTTGCAGCTTCCTATCGACGCCTAGGGTCGCGACGCCACGTCACACGGCGTCGCGGTCTTATTAAGAAACTCATGGTGGCCCTCCCTGCCATGATGCTCTCTACACAACGCCCCAAACCCGGACCCCTTCCCCAAGTACTCTCTCGAATAATAATAAGCAGCGAATGAGTTTCAGTCCAGCCTGCTCTCACGGGCTTGTATCTGAAGCCGGGGGCTGCTCCGATCCCAACAGGCAGCTCGTGGCACCATCGCAACCCAGCCGCTCATAGAACCTCCTGCGTCCATTTGCTTTACTAATTCCCTTCCGTCTCCTCGCCTCCCGCAGTCGCCGCGGCCCTCGTGCTCGCCTCACGACCTGCTCGCCTCCGTGGATGACCAGCCGCCTCTCATCCTTCCCACGCCCGTTTCCACATCTGTGGTATCGCTCTGCTGGTGCTACCTTTATCTGCACCCATTGCTCATACTCCGTTTCCGCTTCTTCAATGTTGTCCTATTCGTTCATCCTATAAACCATGTTTCTGTGTCTCTAAGCACACTTGGACGTGGCCTTGCCTCGCGTTGCTGGTCTTACGCTTTGACTGTTCATGTGTCTCATCTATGTTCGTTAAACCCCTATGAGCAAATGTCCATCCATCTTATCCACCCTCCATCTGTATTCCCCCCTTAAACTGTATCTTCCTATCCTGGCACAGTGTACAAAACGTTCCTTCCTCCCTCCACTGCTGCGGCTCCTGATGTTCCTCACCCCCTTGCTCCTGGCCGTATTCCCCTCCTACTGCTGCCACTGTTTCCCGCTCCCTTGCTCCTACCAGTATCTCCTTCGTGCTATGCGCCTTGCATCGGGCTCGCCCCATCAGCCATGGATCGGCTGACTGAATTTGCAGCGTTTCACCTTTTCGCCACTGCCAGCACTGTTGTCATCGCCACGCCATTTCACGGGGATGGCTACATCACAGTGGACGTGAGTCATCACTGCCATAGAAGCGAATGTATGGTGGTCACTATTTGGCTTGTTGAATACTTCGTGTCCACATCAGCATACCTGCATGTGTTATCCACCACATCGTGGGTTACTTGCACTCGTGCTCGTGCCTTCTATGGTTTCCTTTCCTTGTACATCAGCATGCACCTGTGTTCTCCTTCCTTCCTTGTTGCCTCTTGCTGCTTCCACGTGACACCGACATCCACCAATGCAACCAATCTGTCATTCTTCCCTCTCCTTCTTTCCCTGATATATTATAAGCACAAGCTCTTGTCATGCTTTCTGTAATTCCCATACTCGTGTGCATGTTCGACAGCTAAAGTTCATGGTGAATCGTTTTGTGCATGCACATGCATGTCCCACATGCACGCATGCATGAGTTGTCTGCCTCTCAGGCCACTACCATGTATCAGAATGCCATGAGCATACTTCCCGCTCATGCCAATGCCATCGCCCACCCCCTTGAGCATGTCCGTGCCACTTCACTCCCTCTATACCCTGGATCATTAAGGCCTCTGGATGCACTGGCCACACTCCTGTAGCCAACAATCGTTGCAGTGTTTCATGCCTTATAATCTTTCTCGCTCGTCTCTCCTTCTATCCACGTCATATCATGGCTGCAGGGAAGGTGAGAGGGGGCACGCTTGTCAGTTGGTGCGTTGCAGCAGGAGGAGGGGGATGAGGCGGCAGGTGGCAGCAGGAGGAGGAGGAAGGGGAGGCGAGGAGGGTGGGGGAGCAGGGGAGCGGCATGATAGATGGATCTTGATGCTGCTGACCATGCCCCACAGGACGAGATGAGCCAATGAGTGCGAGGGGCGAGGGGGTGAGGGTGGACGGGAGGAAGGTAGCGAGGGTGACGGGGGGTCACAGTGTCTGTCTACCATCATCCTCCCATCATCCTCGCGACCTTCCTCCTGCTCACCCTCACCCGTTCGCCCCTGGCTCGCCTTGGCTTACCTCGGCCCGCGTGGCATGGTCAGCGGCATCATGATCCATCATGCCGCTCCCCTGGTCCCCCACCCTCCTCGCCTCCCCCCCACCTGCTCCTCCTGCTGTTGCTCTTCAGCTTCCTCCTCCGCCTCCTCTTGCTGCTGCCGCGATGCACCAGCTGACAAGCGCGCCCCCTCTCGCCTTCTCTGCAGCTCTGGTTCTGCCTCCTGTGATGAGACTGTTTTTTAGTTGACTAAAATTTGACTTTTTTGTGCATGGGTGCATCAGCAGGGCAGGGCTTGGCTGTGACGGCTGGGCTGATGAAGCTGAAGAATGCAATCGAGTGCCTCGTGGCCTTTGATCATGCGACTTTACTTTCTACCCCTCTCTTTTTAGGCTCTTACCCAAGGTTATAAAATACGGTCGTTTTTTTTTTTTAAAGTTACCGTAGAATACGGTATCATGTAATAGGGTCCTGTGAGCAATCGTATCTTTCCTCCCTTCTCCCCCTCAGCCCACGTCCCCCAGACCCCTTTTCTCAGTCTGCTGAGCTGCTTCTCCTCTTCCCTTGTTTCATCCCTTTCAACACCCCTTACCACCACCCGCCTATCAGTGCAGTGGCTAGTGGCTCATCCCATCACGACCCCCACCAGCACCCGACCTGCACTCGTGCTCCTCCACTACCCGTTCAATTTCCAAATTGGCCCTCCTGCACGCCATGGCTCTCAGGTGCGTCCCACCTGCGCTCTCTCAGGTTAGAAACGGGTGTGGTTAGGGCAGGGTGGCAGAGAGAGGCGAGGTGGTGGTGACTTAGACTTAACTCAAGCGAGGTGGGGAGCTCAGCACATACACTCTGCATGGTCATGGTTCATACACATACATCAGTGCACTAAGCACGTGCACATCCTAAGCATGAGCATGGGCCGGGTCGCAGGCCGGGCCGGACCGGACCCATCTAACTGTCCGCCCGCACTGATCCAGCCCACTGGCGCAGCACTCTGGCCCGAGTCATGGTTCGGGGTTTCCAGCACCGGGCCAGGCCGGTCCAGGCCAAACTTCTGCCGAAATTATGTAGGTCAGTGATGTGCACCACCTGAGACGCCGGCTCACGTTTTGTGGCGTGACAACACAGGGGTTGGGAGGGGTTTGTGGGAACAAGGGATGAGCGTGGGCGTGAGTAGGGTGTGTGTGTGTGTGTGTGTGGACGAAAGCAGTGGGGAATGTGGGCGGGCGCAGGAATGCCTGGCGGGCCAAGCCGGGATCGGCCTGACCCGTGGTTTACCTTGGCATGGTTAGCAAGAGACGGCCCGGTGCCGACCATCCAGCAAGCAGGGCCGGGACCAGCAGGCCCGGACCCAGCCTGACTTGGCCGTGAGGCCAACCCATCCTGGGCCGCCCATAATGCTGGCCCGTCCCAGCCCATGCTCATGCCCATTACATCCACATATGCAATGGTGGTTGACTGTTGCTTTCGGGTGTCCCTGATTTGCATGTACTAGGTAAGTACTGTGGTCTTTCGTTCACCATGTGGCGTATGTATTTATGATGTATCCCATGTATCGAGTACCGAATGATTGTTTCTTATCCCTTCCCCTCTCCCGTCCTCCCTCCCGTCCTTCCTCTCCGTTTCCAGCTCTCAGTCACCTAGTGCATTGGAGCTGACAGCCCTCCATGCCTGCCTCCATTGCTGCTGTTGCATTCTTCCCCTCCCCCATCTCCCCTGCCGCCCATCCTTCCTCTGCATCCCTCTCCCTCCCTCACTCGTGGCTAATGTCCCTTAGTGCGGACAGTTTGCTCGTGTGCTCGTGCCTGGTCCCTTGCTGCCCTGCTTGCGCCCCCCTTCAATCTCTCTGCGAGTTCTTCCTTCCCACCTCCCCCCTCCCCTCTCCTAAACAGTTCATGTGATGCGCTGAGGGCCTCGGTGTTGTTTGGCATGTGGCATGACCTGGCGGACCGTGGAGGTGCTAAGGCAGGAAGAGCAGCTGAGGCGAGCTGAGGAGGCAGCAGAGGCGGCCAGCGATGCCGAGAGCAACTTCTCTTTTCTGGGGAATATGAGGCACAAGATGCACACGCCCATGAGTGTGAGCCAGGTGGGTGGGTGGATGGGTGGCGGCGATGCATGCATGTGCATGGTGTGTGCATGGTGTGTGCATGGTGTGTGCATGGCGTGTGCATGGTGTGTGCATGGTGTGTGCATGGTGTGTGCATGGTGTGTGCATGGTGTGTGCATGGTGTGTGCATGGTGTGTGCATGGTGTATGCATGTGCATCATGTGCATGGCATGCGTGGTGCCATATGGCACCAGTGCATGGTTCAGTAACAGTAACCCTTCTTTCATTTCATAGATCCAGAAACAACCATCTTCCTCTCATCTTTGCGTCCTCTTTACCTCCCTTTCCCTTCCCCTTCCTCTCCCCTTTCCTTCCCCTTCCCCTCCCATTCTGCTCCCCTCCCCTCCCCCTCTCCATTCCTTCACTTCCGTCTCTCGTCACATGCACCTGAATCAGCTCCGACCAGCGAAGGATCGAGTGTCAAGGAGGTAACTTCTCTGCTCTCCGTTGCTGCAGCAGAGAGGGCCTTGAGGTGAATGTGCATGGGGGTGGACCGCTGTGGGGTTAAAGGAGGGCGGGGTTGAGCGTCATGGTTGGCAAGATGAGATGTGCTGCATTCGTTGTTGCGACTCGTGAGTCCATTGTGAAAACTGAGAAATGTGAGCCTGCATACGGGTGTGAGAGAGTGGACAGCTGATGCTGACTAGCGATCGCAGCAGCAAGGACAGCACCAGCAGCTGCAGCAGCAGCATGGCAGGACTCGCTCTCATTGATTTGCTTTTCTCGAGCCAAAGGTACCAGGGGTGACAGGAGGAACCTGTTCAGTGGGCATTTCACAATCAGTATGGTCAGCAATCTTGAAGGTTCCGCCATGGTTGCCACAGTTTCAAACACCTCGTCCCGCACCTCATCTCACATCATCACATACTACACAATGTCATTTCTATGCCTTCTGTTTCGCTCAGTCCCTTTTCTCTCGTGTGTGCCCCTCATGCATGCTTTCCCTTCGCTCAATTGCAGCATCTTCTTCTTGAGCTCAGAAGGGATAAGCCATACACCAGCAGAACCCAAGTCGTTAGTAACCAGCCATGGGGGTGCCTTGAGTGGGTGGTATGTGGCTGTGGCAACGAGGTAGCAGCAATTGTGATTCTGTTGGTTTCCAGTATGCTGGAACAGAATGCATGGCTGCCCCCCCCGCCCATCTAGCCATGCGGCTGTTAAACTATATTTGTTGTTTGTATGTTGTAGGCTACAGTGGGGTAGCCACTAAGGGGTACAACCCCTTTAGGGTTTCATACTTGTATCACATTCTTGTCTTAGTTCATCATTCCTAGCCTATTATTCTAACATGGTATTAAGAGCTATGGGTCCTTAGGACCTAAGTTTCTTCATCGGGCCCACCTGTTACCGCGTTACCCCACTGCCCTACCCCGAGTCGCGCTGCCCCTGTAAGCCGCGCGCCACTGCTGCAGCGCGAATTTTTTTTTTATCGCGCTGCTCTGCCTGCCCCACCCCGCGCGCCCTGCTGGCCGCGTAGCGCTGCTGTCGCGTCGCCCCGCCGCCCGCGCGCCTGCCCTGCTCGTGCGCCGCCCGCAGCCGCGCACTGTCGTGCCCGTGCGCAGCCCGCCGCAGCGCCCCCTGTCCTGCCCGTGCGCAGCCCGCCGCTGCGCCACCTGCCCTGCCCGTGCGCAGCCAACCGCCGCGCCACCCTACCCTGCCCGTGCGCAGCCCGTCGCCGCGCCACCTGCCCTGCCCGTGCGCAGCCAGCCGCCGCGCCACCCTACCCTGCCCGTGCGCAGCCCGCAGCCACGCCACCTGCCCTGCCCGTGCGCAGCCAGCCGCCGCGCCTCCTTGCCCTGCCCGTGCGCAGCCCGCCGCCGCGCCACCCTGCCCTGCCCGTGCGCAGCCCGCAGCCGCGCCACCCTACCCTGCCCGTGCGCAGCGCCGCGCTCCCTGCCCTGCGCGTACGTTCAGTCCGCTTCCTCCCCTGCCGGCCGCCCCTAACCCAGTGAGCGCCGCCTCCTGCTGCCCTGTGCATGCATCCTGCCGCTTGCCCTTCCTGCCTCCTTGCTGCCCTGCGCTACCAACGATGGCGACTTACAATGTTCTCACCTTTGACGCAGAGGGCCGCCCGATCGAATTTGAAACCTGGTTAGATGACCTTAGGCTCTACCTTCAGTGCGAGTCTAAGGATCGTGTGTCCCTGTTCGCTCATACGTCTGGTAGCGCTGCCGCCCCTGCAGACACTGCTGACGCTGACACTCGTGACCAGTGGCTTATTCGCGACGCTGCTGCTCGCCTAGCTGTGCGAAACCACCTACAGCTAGCCGAGCGCGCGCACTTTAGCCAGCAGAAAACCGCCAAGGACCTGTTCGACGCAGTCGTAGCTCGCTACAGCTCGCCTGCCACTGCTGCGCTAGGCCGTCTTATCAGGCCCTACCTCTTTCCTGACCTGTCCGCCTTTCCTACAGTCGCTGATCTCATCACCCACCTCCGCACTAGCGACGCTAGGGTGCGTGCTGCGACCCCTGCCGACTTCCTCACCAAGAACCCTCCCCCTATTCACTACACCCTCTACCTCCTAGTCACTCGCCTCCCTGACTCTCTTCACACTGTTAGGGACACCTTCCTCGCCATGGACCCCACTGAGCTCACTATAGACCTCCTCGAAAAGCACCTTACAGTAGCCTAGGTTAGCATTAATGCTGTAGGCGCTTCTCGAGGCACTCCTCGCACCCCCTTCTTCGAGGGGTGTTCCCCCTCTCCCCTCCTCCCCTCTGTCGCCACTGCTGCTGCTGTCGACCTCCTTGGTGCTGAGGAGGTTGGGGTTGCGTCTGCTTCCAGTGGCAGGCGCCGCAGCGGCAAAGGGAAGGGCGGCAAGGGTGGTGGGGGTGGAGGCGGTGGTGGAGGCTCGGGTGGTGGCGGCGGGGGTGGTGGGAGCGGCGGGGGTGGGGGTGGGGGCGTTGGGGGTGGCGGCGGCGGAGGTGGCGGTGGTGGGAGTGGCAGCGGAGTCGGTGGCGGTGGTCGCAGTGGTATGGCCCAGCGCGGCGGCTCTGGAGGCAGCCAGGCACAGCAGCAGCAGCGCCAGCGCCTGCCCCGTACGCCGCAGGACCTTCGTGAGTGGTACGCGCAGCGTCAGTCGCCTGGGGGTGGTGGTACCTGCCCGTATATTATTCGTACGGGTGAGCGTGCTGGTCAGACCTGCGGGAGGTTGCACACCCAGCACCGCTGCTTTTCCCGCCTTAGTGACGCCTGGCGTGCTCAGTTTCCTGACTGCTCTGAGCTGCCCGACTGGGCTGAGCTGCTTAGGAGGGGTGTAGAGATCTTTGATCTTGACTATGATGCTATCCTTGCTGCCATGTATGCATTGACTGTTAGTGTAGAGGGTGACTGTTACCTGTGTGTTCCGCCAGACCCTGGTATAGAGGCTGCTGCTCCAGGTGCTTGTGAGTCTGCTGCCCTTGGTGCTTGCGATTCTGCTGCCCTAGGTGCTAGTGAGTCCGCCCTCTCAGGTACTGCGCCTACTGAGGCCTTGTACACTTTCACGCTAGACTCAGGTGCCTCCCGCTGCTTCTTCCGCGACAGCACCACAGTCACACCGCTCTCTGCACCGGTTCCGGTCTCCCTTGCTAACCCCTCCAGGGGACCTGTCCTTGCACGTTCCTCCACTGTCCTCCCCTGTCCGGCGGTCCCGTCTGGCTCACTTACAGGTCTCCACCTCCCCTCGTTCTCTACGAACCTGGTGAGTAACGCCGTCATCCAGGATGAGTGGGTTGACACCTTCACCCCTGGAGGACGTCGTGTGGCGATCTGCACGTGTGCCCGCACGGGCCGCCACCTGGCCACGTTCACCCGTCGGCCTGGGTCGAGTCTGTACACCCTGACTGTCGGGTCTCCCCAGGTTGCTGCTACTGGTCAGGTGTCCTTGTCCGGACTGGAGTCTGCCCCTTGCTTGTGTCGTCGCCTGTCGCACCAGACTCTCCTCTGGCACCACCGCCTTGGTCACCCCTCTCTGCCGCGCCTCCGTGGCATGCACTCCCGTCTGCTTGTCTCTGGTCTTCCCCAGTCGCTGCCGTCGCTCCCACGCTCGCCTGCCCCGCCGTGTCTCCCTTGTGTCGAGGGGCGGCAGCACGCCGCTCCTCACTCCTCCTCGTTTCCCCCGACAGACGCTCCCCTGCAGACTCTCCACATGGACGTGTGGGGCCCAGCCCGCGTCCGGGGACAGGGCCGCGAGCAGTACTTTCTGCTGGTTGTTGACGACTACTCGCGGTACACCACGGTCTTCCCCTTGCGCAGCAAGGGTGAAGTCCCTGCTGTCTTGATCCCTTGGATCCGCGCTGTTCGTCTCTAGCTCCGCGACCGTTTCCTGACGGACTTTCCCGTCCTACGTCTGCACTCTGACAGAGGTGGTGAGTTTTCCTCCGACCTCTTGCGGGACTTTTGTCAGGGGGAGGGCATCCTCCAATCGTTCACGCTTCCGGCCTCTCCGCAGCAGAATGGGGTTGCTGAGCGCCACATTGGCCTAGTCATGGAGATCGCTCGCACCTCCATGATCCATGCAGCTGATCCCCATTTTCTGTGGCCGTTTGCGGTCCGGTACGCTGCGCATCAGCTCAACCTCTGGCCCCGTATCTCCTTGCCGGAGACCTCGCCCACACTGCGTTGGATGGGGGAGGTTGGCGATGCGTCGCGCTTCCGGGTCTGGGGCTCTTGTGCCTTTGTCCGCGATACCACCGCGGACAAGCTCTCCGCTCGCGCCATTCCCTGCGTCTTCCTTGGCTTCCCTACTGACGCGCCTGGCTGGCAGTTTTACCACCCCACCTCGCGCCGTGTTCTGTCCTCTCAGGACGTCACGTTTGACGAGTCGGTTCCCTTTTACCGTCTCTTCCCCTACCGCACTGCCTCTCTCCCTCCCCCCGCCGCTCTTCCTCGCTCCAGGTCCCCCCCCGGTAGACCCCCTCCCCCCTCAGGGTCCTGCTCCCTCAGGTGTTTCCCAGGTAGACCCCCCTCCCCTGGTTGAGCCTGTCGAGGTCACTGGTGACTCTGGTGCTGCTAGAGGAGGTACTGCTAGGGGTCCTGAGTCTAGGGGTGCTGAGCCTGCGGGTGCGGGGCCTGGGGGTGCTGAGCCTAAGTGCGTGGAGCCTGGGAGTGCTGTGCCTGAACGCGTGGAGCCTGGGGGTGCTGTGCCAGAGCGTGTGGAGCCTAGGGGTGCTAAGCCTGGGGGTGCTGAGCCTGGGTCTGGTCGGCAGGAGCCTCTCTCCCCGCAGCAGCTGCGTGAGTGGTACACTCGACGCTACTGCCGTTCGCGTGGCGCTGCTGGTGCTGGGGGCTCGGCCACTGGAGCTGCTGGAGCTGCAGGCACTGCTGGTGGTACCGCTTCTGGGGCTGGACGTGCTGGGACTGCTGGACCTACTACCGCTGCTGGTGCTGGAGGAGCCCCTGGTGCTGTTGGTCCCGGAGGTGCTCGTACTGGAGGTACTGGAGCTGCTGGGGCTGGTGGTGCTGGTCCTGGGGCTACTGGAGCCGTCGGCCCTGCCGCTGGAGACGATGGAGCTGGAGACACTGGGACTGGAGGTCCTGGTGCTGGAGGCGCTGACGCTGGAGATCCTGGTGCTGGAGCCTCTGGGGCGGGAGGAGTCGGAGCTGGTGACGCTAGTTCTGAAGGTGCTGCTGCTGCTGGTGCTGCGCAGCGGCGTCTGTTCTTCACTCCGCCGTCGCCGTCGTCTCTCCACCGCCTGACTCCGTGCTTCGTCAGGTTCTTACCCTCCCGTCTTCTACTGGTTATCCGCTAGAGCCTGGCTCTCCACTGCATGCTCCTTCTCCTTACACTGAGCAGACAGACTCGCTTACAGAGCGTCGTGAGCCTGCGTCTCGTCCTGCCTCGCCTGTTCGCGCCGCTCGCACTGCTCGCCGTGTCCCGCGTCCGCGTCCTCCTCCTGTGCCGGGCACTCACACCATGGCACTTCGTCCCTCCTCTGCTCCGCAGCGCGTCCCACTGCCGTCTCCTCCTGCGTCCTCTCTTCCTGAGCTTCCTGACCCTGAGTCTGACGCTGTTCGTGCTGCTAGTCCCACCGACACGCGTCTTCTGGCTATTGTTGTCACTGACCCGTCGTTTGAGTCTGCTGCTGCATCTGCCTTAGTTGCTGAGCTCGTTGACTTTGCTGCTGTGTGTCGTCTAGACTACGCTGCCAGTCTTGTTGCTGAGTCTGAGTCTGTCTGTCCTCCGTCCGTCGGGGGTGAGTGTGCTCTTGGCACGGACGTCCTTGAGGACAGACAGGAGGAGCTCGACTGTCTTGCGGCTGCTGTACCTCATCTCGTGGCCTGGCTGCTTGCCCCTGAGGGAGACCCGGATGCACTGGACATCCCGACCCCGCGCTCTTACACAGAGGCGATCTCGGGTCCCTACTCCTCTCAGTGGCAGACAGCCGTGGACGCAGAGATGGCATCCTGGAAGTCCACAGGCACCTACGTCGACGAGGTTCCCCCTCCTGGGGCGAACATCGTCGATGGCATGTGGATTTTCAGGGTGAAGCGGCCGCCGGGTTCTCCGCCTGTCTTCAAGGCTCGTTACGTTGCACGAGGTTTCAGTCAGCGACAGGGAGTTGACTTCTTCCAGACCTTCTCCCCCACCCCGAAGATGACCACTCTTCGGGTGCTGCTGCACGTTGCCGCTCAGCGTGACTACGAGCTTCACTCTCTTGACTTCAGCACATCGTTCCTGCAGGGCACCCTCCACGAGGAGATCTGGCTGCGCTGCCCTCCTGGCTTCACTGGGGCGTTCCCTCCTGGTACCCAGTGGAGCCTCCGGCGCCCAGTCTCAGTCTCCGCCAGGCACCTCGTGAGTGGCACGACACACTGAGGACGACACTTGCGGCGCTTGGGTTTGCTCCTTCGACTGCAGACCCGTCGCTGTTCCTCCGCACCGACACGTCGCTGCCGCCGTTCTACATCCTCGTGTATGTCGACGACCTGGTCTCTGCTACTGCTGACACTGAGGCACTTGCTCTTGTGAAGTCGGAGCTGCAGAAGAGACACACGTGCACAGACCTGGGTGAGCTGCGCAGCTACCTTGGCTTGCAGATCACCCGGGACAGAGCACGCCGCACCATCACCTTGACTCTGTCACACATGGTGCAGCACGTCCTTCAGCGCTTCGGCTTCCAATTCTCCTCACCACAGTCCACTCCTCTGTCTACCGGTCACTCGCTCTCAGCTCCACCTTCGAACGAGTCCGTAGAGCCGAGTGGCCCGTACCCAGAGCTTGTGGGCTGCCTCATGTACCTGATGACTTGCACACGACCTGACCTTGCGTACCCTCTTAGCATCCTGGCTCGCTACGTTGCGTCTGGGAGGCACACGCGAGAGCACTGGGAGGCTGCTAAGAGGGTGCTGTGCTACTTGTGCAGTACATCAGGCATGGGGCTGGTGCTTGGAGGACGGGGTGACGTTGTCCTCACTGGACACTCAGACGCCTCTTGGGTTGATGACCTGGCTACGCAGCGGTCGTCACAGGGTTATACCTTCAGCCTTGGCTCTGGCTCTGTCTCTTGGCGGTCTACCCGTTCGTCTTCTGTTCTCAGCTCCAGTTGTGAGGCTGAGATCTACGCCACAGCCATGGCTGCACAGGAGTTACGCTGGCTCACTTACCTGCTGACTGACTTGGGAGAGCAGCCGCGTTCTCCTCCAGTTCTGTACGGCGACAACAAGGCAGCCCTTGCCTTGTGTCAGGAGCACAGACTGGAGCACAGGACAAAGCATATCGCTCTGCGTTACTTTCTTGCTCGAGAGCTACAGCAGCGCGGCCAGCTTCGCCTTGCTTACGTGGACACGCGGGCGAACACAGCTGATATATTCACCAAGGCACTTCCGCCTAGTGATCATCAGCGTCACTGCACTGCTCTAGGTCTCGTGCCTACGTTCTCACACTTGCTTACTGCTTGACCTTGCTTGTACTGTGATTCATTATATATACCTACATGCCTACACTTGCTAGGTAGTGATCACTGTTTTTGCTTGCTCTCTCTTATATAACAGTGCTTGTGAACTGGCATTGTGGCCCTCTTTGCTTGTGCTCAGAATGTGTGGTGATGTTGGGATCCACCCTGAGCTTGTCTTGCTTCTCTTGACTGGTCTTGAGACCGCTTGTTCTCCCCCACTTTGCCTATGGGGTGTGTCAAACTATATTTGTTGTTTGTATGTTGTAGGCTACAGTGGGGTAGCCACTAAGGGGTACAACCCCTTTAGGGTTTCATACTTGAATCATATTCTTGTCTTAGTTCATCATTCTAGCCTATTATTCTGACAGATCCCTGTACGCTCTTCAGTGTAATGTTCGCTAAGGGAAAATTTACCCCAAGGCATCAGTGTGGCCTATGTCGATACACTTACAAATCAGTGTAACACTAATTCTCCAAAAAAATTACCCCAGCACATCAGTGTAGACCCAAAATTTCACCCTTGTAATCAGTGTAGAAGGGTAAATTACACTGATAACCTGAGCCCTGATTACAAGTAATCAGGGGCCCTAAAACAACAAGTCTGAGTCACTCAGGGATAAGAAAACAACTACTCTGGAAAATCACTTTTCAGTGCCTAGACAGTCTGATTCGTCAGACTAATCAGACTATTTAGTCTGATAGCGTCAGCCCTGCTTCGAACGGAGCATGCCATGCTGCCTAGCTTAGCCAACAGGATGTCACCTGGCATGCTGCTGCACATGCGTACATGCCTGTGTTTTCATGTAAGCCAAATGTGGTGGAATTAAGTATTCAACACTTACGTATAAGTTTTTTAATTATGACAAAAGACTCAAATGGGGATATCTCTTGCACCCAACATCAAGACAGCGAGAGAGCTTACCCACACACAACAGCTCATCATCACCCGAAACAGTAGCTATCGTCTGTGTGGTTGTTTACTGTACAACGTTCAGGGCACAAAATCACACAACTATTCTTCTACTGGTACCTTAAGCTGTGCACTGGCAAAAACAGACCCACCCACCAGCTTGCACACACCACCAATCAATCCACTCTTGCCTAGCCTACGCTGCCGCCACTGCTGCCGCCACTCCTGCTGCTGCCACTGCTGCCAGCCTGCCACCACTGCTGTCGCCTCTGCTGTTGCCACTAACGTTGCCACTGCTGCCGCCACTGCTGCTCCACTGCTGCTGTCGCCACAGCAGCCGCCACTGCTGCCGCAACCGCTGCTGCCACTGCTGTCGCCACTGTTCACAAAGCAACCCTGTTCTGGCGCCTACCCTACGTGCTTATCCGCCTGTGTACAGCATAACTAATAACCCCATTCCGACGGCCCAAGCCATGTCAGCTTGGTCAGGGCAGTCAGCTGCTGCAGCCCATCATCCGTGACTGCCGTCCCATCCAGACTAATTAAGCGAAGCCCTGTCAGCCTCTCCACGTGCACCATGCCAGCATCTGTCACTCCCTTGCATCCAGAAAGCTCGAGCACTTCGAGACAGGACAAAGCTGTCAAGTGCAGCAGACCAATATCAGTCACCTTGGTATTCTGGAGAAGGAGGTTTTTGAGACTGGTCAAGGACCCAATGCCTTCCAAGGCACTGTCTGAGATGTCGGACCATTGGAGGTTTAGCCACTCCAACCGTGGCAGCATGTAGAGGTGCTCGATGCCCTCTACAATGAAGTCTGAGCTGTAGTACAAGGTAACGCTCGTCAGGTGGGTCATGGTGGACACATGCCTGAGGACGGCGTCTGAGACGCCGCGGAGATAGTCCAGGTTCAAGTAGGTTTCTCGTGACGCTGCCTTGATTCGCTGGAGGTGATGGGTGAAGAGGGAATGAATGACAAGAAATGAAATGAGCACCTTGACAATACCAAACAATGCATGGCCTATCAAACTATTAAGTCAGCAGTTACCTTCCATGCAGCCCTCTCACAGAAGTCACTCTTGCTGATTTCCATCTCTGCAATTTGCCAATTCCTGCAGGCTGCCAATTCCTCCATGGAGAGAGAAATGTGATAAATGCGAACAATACTCGTCACACTTAGTATGAACTGAACAAGGCACCCCAACACGAGGATGTCAGAATCACTAGGCAAGAATGGTTGAACTAGCAGAAGTTTGGGTACAAATATGAAACCCTAGTTGGGGTTGTACCCCATATTGGCTACCCCACTACAGCCTACAAGCATAATACAGTTTAACACACCCCCATAGGCAAAGTGGGGGAGAACAAAGGGTCACAAGACCAGTCCAGCAAAGCAAAACAAAGCCCAGGGTGGATCACAACGTCACCACACTCCGAGCACAAGTAAAGGCCACAAGGCCAGTTCACATGCAGTGCTAGATATAGTACAAGACAAGCAACACAGTGATCAAAACCTAGCAAGCAAGCAACAAGATATATATAAAGTACAGTACAAAGAATGTCAAGCAGTGAGCAAGTGAGGAAACGTGGACACAAGGCCTAAAGAAGTACAGTGCCGCTGATGATCACTAGGCGGGAGCGCCTTGGTGAAGATATCAGCAGTGTTGGCCTTCGAGTCCACGTACACAAGTCGAAGCTGACCGCGCTGCTGAAGCTCTCGAGCAAGAAAGTAGCGAAGAGCAATGTGCTTCGTCCTGTGCTCCAGTCTGTGCTCCTGACACAAGGCAAGAGCCGCCTTGTTGTCACCGTACAGAACTGGAGGAGAACTAGGCCGCTCTCCCAAGTCAGTCAGCAGGTAGGTGAGCCAGCGTAACTCCTGTGCAGCCATGGCTGTGGCGTAGATCTCAGCCTCACAACTAGAGCCGAGAACAGAGGAAGAGCGGGTGGACCGCCACGAGACAGAACCTGAGCCAAGGCTGAAGGTGTAACCCTGTGACGACCGCTGCGTAGCCAGGTCGTCCACCCAAGAGGCGTCCGAGTGACCAGTGAGGACAACTCTGTCGCGTCCTCCAAGCACCAGCCCCATGCCTGATGTACTGCACAGGTAACGCAGCACCCTCTTAGCAGCCTCCCAGTGCTCTCGCCTGTGTCTCCCAGGCGCAACGTAACGAGCAAGGATGCTAAGAGGGTACGCGAGGTCAGGTCGCGTGCAAGTCATCAAGTACATGAGGCAGCCTACAAGCTCTGGGTACGGGCCACTCGGCTCTACGGACTCGTCCGAAGGTGGAGCTGAGAGCGAGTGGCTGGTAGCCAGAGGTGTGGCCTGTGGTGAGGAGAACTGGAAGCCGAAGCGCTGAAGGACCTGCTGCACCATGTGTGACTGAGTCAGGGTGATGGTGCGGCGAGCTCTGTCCCGGGTGATCTGCAAGCCAAGGTAGCTACGCAGTTCACCCAGGTCAGTGCAGGTGTGTCTCTTCTGCAGCTCCGACTTCACACGAGCGAGTGCCTCAGTGTCAGCAGTAGCAAAGACCAAGTCGTCGACGTACACGAGAATGTAGAACGGCGGCAGCGACGTGTCTGTGCGCAGAAACAGCGACGGGTCAGCAGTAGACGGCGCGAACCCAAGAGCCGCAAGAGTAGTCCTCAGTGTGTCGTGCCACTCACGTGGCGCCTGGCGGAGACCGTAGACTGGCCGGCGGAGACTCCACTGGGTACCAGGGGGAAACGACCCAGTAAAGCCAGGTGGGCGGCGCAGCCAGATCTCCTCGTGCAGGCTGCCCTGCAGGAACGCTGTGCTGAAGTCAAGAGAGTGAAGCTCGTAGTCACGCTGAGCAGCAACGTGTAGCAGAACCCGAAGAGTGGTCATCTTCGGGGTGGGGGAGAAGGTCTGGAAGAAGTCGACCCCCTGACGCTGACTGAAGCCTCTAGCAACGTAACGAGCCTTGAAGACAGGCGGAGAACCTGGCGGCCGCTTCACCCTGAAAATCCACATGCCATCGACGATGTTCGCCCCAGGAGGGGAAACCTCGTCGACGTAGGTGCCTGTGGACTTCCAGGATGCCATCTCTGCGTCCATGGCTGTCTGCCACTGAGAGGAGTAGGGACCCGAGATCGCCTCTGCGTAAGTGCGCGGAGTGGGGATGTCTAGTGCATCCGGGTCTCCCTCAGGGGCAAGCAACCAGGCCACGAGATGAGGTACAGCAGCCGCAAGAGAGTCAAAGTCCTCCTGCCTGTCCTCAAGGACGTCCGTGCCAAGAGCACACACACCCCCGACGGACGGAGGACAGACAGACGCAGACTCTGACTCAGCAACAAGGCTAGCAGCGTAGTCTAGACGACAGGCAGCAGCAAAGTCAACCAACTCAGCGACCAGAGCAGACGCAGCCGAGGACTCAAAGGTGGGGTCAGTGACAACAGTAGCAAGGAGACGCGTGACAGTAGGGTGCTCAGCGCGATACCGGTCAGACTCAGGGTCCGGAACGGCAGGCAAAGAGGACGCAGGAGGAGACGGTAGAGGGACACGCCGAGGAGCAGTAGAGGGACGCAGAGTCATGTAGTGAGTGCCTGGGACAGGAGGAGGACGCTCACGACGGACACGACTAGCAGTGCGAGCAGGACGAACAGGCGACGCAGGACGAGACTCAGGCTCACGACGCTCTGTAAGACCTCCTGTGGGACCAGTATAAGGAGAGGGAGCAGGGAGAGGCGAGGCAGGCGGTAACTGTGACTGCGGCTGGACAGGCGGAGGACACTCTACGGAGGGAGGAGGACAAGGAGGAGGAGCCTGCCCAAGAACCTGCTGAAGGAGCGGTACGAAGTACGGTCGCGGCCGCGCAGCGTCTCCAGAAGCAGAAGGGACTCCAGCGGCCGGGTCCTCAGCACCAGTAGGAGCTCCAGCGTCCGGGTCCACAGCACCAGCAGCAGCTCCACCGGCCGGGTCCCCAGCTCCAGCAGCAGCTCCACCGTCCGACTCCTCAGCACCAGCAGCAGCTCCACCAGGTGGGTCCGCAGCACCAGCAGCAGCGCCACCCCCAGAGTCGGCAGCTCCAACTCCGCTAGCACCGCCAGCGCCAGAGTCCCCAGCTCCAGCAGCTCC